AGAACATTGAAATGAGCAAGAGAAGAGAAGATATTCTTCTGTTGATAAACTTCTTTTTAATGTGAAAAGAAAAAAAAAGAGATTGTGTGACAAAAAAATGTTTGTGAAGGTCAGTTAGTCAAATAAATACACAACAATTGAAAATACAACAGAGATGAATAGGGAACACAACAACAAGACAAAATACTTGCCAAATACTTGAAGAATATGTCAAATCGAAAATGCAGCAGGCACAAGCATTGATGTACTGGTACAATCATCAGTCGAAGAATGTGTCGTTGCGTGTTGTTGTTGCTGCTGTTGCTGTAAGCAGTTTTCCGTATGTTTGTTAAGTAATGACATACGTGAAAATGTTTTTGAACAATTGTTACACCGGTATTTTTTAATATCCGAATGTGTTTGCATATGTGCGCGGAGATTCGATCGATCAGCAAATGCTCGACAACAGATTTCACATTGAAATGGTTTTTCTCCTGTGTGTGTACGTACATGTCCTTGCAGAAGCCATGGACGTGAAAATGCTTTGCCACAAATCTTGCATTTACATGGTAATGTGTGTGTACGTATATGCATTTTAAGTGCACCTAATGAGTTATACGTTTTTTCACAGAATTTACATTGAAATTGTTTTTTAATTTGGGCAACGCAATGAAATTGTTTGTGTTTTGAAAGGCCACCAAATGTTGAGTAAGATTTGGAACATCCATCACATTGATAGCGAGAATTAGTGCTAGATGAATTGAGCGAGGTAGATGTTGTTGCGTTGGTTAAGTTCGGCGATGGTGGTGATGATGAACATGATGAAGATGTTGGTGTTAACGGATAGGATGATTTCAGAGGTTTCTTTAATGAATTTATATTTGAATTTAGTAATGTTGGATGAGATAATGGTAATGGTGTCGATGATATTTGACCATTTTTTGACATTTGCATAGCAAAATAATGGTAACTAAGATAATAAAGATAGGAAAAATCGTTTGAAGACATTAAACGTGGAAAAAGCGTCGATGATGGTGACGTCTTTGGAAATGCTCGGTGTGGGATTTGTGTCGATTGAATTGGTTGTTTTGGATTAGGATTATTGTTGTTATTCTCTTCTGTTTCATCTTCATTGTTATGTTCTAATTCTTTGACTATTTCATCATCATCATCGTCATCATGAAGCATACCTTCTTCTTCATCGTCTTCTTCAGTTTCCACCATTGATTCAGATGACGATGCTGCAGATAATAAACTGGAAATCAGGAAACTCTTACGATTATCTGATTCTAGGAGAGAAGACAATACGAATTCAAATCTACATTCGATAATTTCAAAGCTAAAAACTCTTACCAGTCATTGTTTCATCGTCAGCAATATTGCTTGTAGTATTACTACTCATCATCATTTTCTCTTATTTAGATGTGGGAGTATCGTCTTCCTTCGTATACTCTTCTTCTTCTTCTCTTTCTTGTTTCCTCTCTCTTCTCTCGTTCGCTCTTTCTTTCTCTCTCCTTTTCTCTCTCTCTTGCCAGATATATTTTCTCACTTTTTATTCGTGCTTCAGCTCTTTCTCTTCTTCCACACGCACGATAATACTTAGGCGTATTCTGATAGGCTCTTCGATTGTCGTTGTTATCGCATAACGCACTGACTGTGCTACTTCTGTCACTATCAACCAGTCAGTGCGCAATTATAAAAAAAACGGGCGCTGATGATGGTGAAACTTCGTTTCCGCTTCCTGTCTCTCTTGCTCTCGTCTTCTGCATCCACCTCCCTACCCTGTATCTCTCTCGTTTGCTTGCTCACGTAGTTCCGATATAAGTGTGCCATTATTTAGGGAAAAGTGTCAGCTGAAGAGCCATGAAAAGTAAACGAAGAACAAGAAGAGTATATGTATACCTATGTGAATGATCTGAGAGGTTTTTGTTGATGATCAAAATTGAACCAATGAAAAAATAATGAAATATTGCAATTTGCACTTGTCGTTTCATCCAATGAAAGAAAAGAAAAGAGAAAGTAAAATGTCCACATTTTCATTATTACGAATAATTCAGATATCGAATCATCAGTTGTCCATTCAAATAAATGAAACTTTATTTCTCATGAACGGCTTTTACATGGTTGCTCTTCGCTAAATTCAAAGATGAGCAAGTTGTAGCATGTAATTTAAATGTTCCATCAAAGATTTATCGATGAATTTACATAAAAAAGGGTGTGCCTTATTGAGAAATCTCGATCATATAATCTTTGGACAACACCTTACAAATTTATATAATCGAAAAATACATTTATTTTGGATATCCATCCGTTCGTCTTGGTCATCTAGTCTTCGTTCAATATTTGTTTACTAAAGACACGATATACATATGCATTCGGATACACGCGTAGTATATATTCGTATATACGAAAGTCAATCAATCACAACTCTCTCTCTCTCTTTCTCATATATGTATATATCTTCATTACATAAAGTTAAAACTCCAAATAAACAATGATGGAGAAAGAGAGAGACGAAGGCAAGACGAAGACGCCGCCCTTCGACACCATTTACGTGCGTGCTTGTCTATCGATTTTTTGTTTCTTCGAATGAAGGTAAAAACACTTGGCAAATAGATGAAGTTTAGTTGTTGTCAACAAGTGAGAGGAGACAGAAAGGAAGGAGAAAGTCGTGATCTGCAAATAGCCTTACATAAAGCAATGAGAGAAGAAGAGAGAAAAGTGAATAACATCGAAAAAATAACAATCTAATGAACATGATAAAGTGAAGATCATCCGCTGTTTTAATCCTTTATACTTTCACTAATTGAGTATGAAGGAAGAACATGACATTTTTTTCGTCGAAAGGTGCTGATTGAATATGAAGAATTCCAAAATACGTAGACACATACACACCTTCCTCTTCTTCTTCTTCGTTCGACGCGGCAGGTAGTCAAGGCAGACACAGTTAGTCTTCGATCATCATTAGCTTCATTGAGCCACTAAACATTGAATTCTTACTTTTTTATTTCTTCTCTCTTCGTTTTTCGTTAGATATAGATTCAAGTGACCTCTTGAAAATGTCAGCACACCTTTTAATAAGATCAACACAGAGACAATTGTTGATTTACGCAATAATTATCAGTTTTCATGCGCACCACAGCATGAGATGAACTTTTTCGTTCTGTATAACATGCTGTCTAACCTGATGGTTCCGTATTCATACGTAATGTCACATAATTAGCAAAAGACAGGCAGCTGTATCGACAAAAAGAAACAAATTCTCTTTATTTTGTTTGCGATCGGTTGATGATTGAACGAGATTAATTTAAGAATAACAATTCCTGCCGAGTGATGATTATTTCGAAGATATTAGTGTTAGACTCTGTTTTTGCTTCATAAAATGTACTATGCTTGAAATAAAATACATTAATACTGACTAATATTAATGAAACAAGAAAAAACAGTATGTACAGAAAAGTTTCGGCTAAATCTAGATGTTTCAAAATTGACAAGATTCACTGCAAGATCAAAAGCAGACAAATGAGAATACTATGTAGATGGTGATAGAGTAGGTAGTGGCTGTCTTTGTAATAGTTCAATCATATGGTGTTGTTCATTGGAAGATGACGCAGAAGACGGAACTGTTTGAATATTCGAATTCAGATCAGGTGCAGATGAAACATGAGTAATAACTCTATGAGAAACCGAAAATAGAGGATTACATAAAGTGAATGTTTGCATTTTTACTTTGGAATATCTTCAATTTCATATTGAGTTCCTTCATCAACAATCGCACCTGGTTCACGTTCTTCATTCAATGGTTGTAGTGTATCAGCCAGTGCAAATACGACTGGCTCTTCTTTCGAACCCTGAACAATCGTGTAATCTATACCTGGTTCAGCTTCTTTCATTTTAATAGCCGTCGCTGCAACTACAGCTGCAGCTTTTGGATCGACACGTCCCAATGGAAGACTTGGTACAGCACCCCAAGCAAAACCACGATCTGTACATTTAATACGTGCATAGTAGGCTAAAACAGCGAGTATGATCGCGCCAACGAAAAATAATGGTAAAACAATGGTATGAAATTTCGGATAATCGTCGTAAGGAATTTGAATGGGTCTCGGTGAATCTGACGTTTTTACTGTTTTTGAATGAGTTTTATTTATTGGAGAGTTTCGAGATGTCATTTCGACTATTCGAGCATGTAGCGGCGTCCACCATGTTAAACTTGTCTCTGTTTCATTTCGATCGAAACCAAAATATCGACCTAATATTGTACTAAAAGATGATTGCGTATGGGTAATTGTTTTTGCAAGCCATGTTGACAAGAAAATGGATAGTAATGACATAATCAAAATCACGCATATCAATATGACAAGACTTGACTTGGCTTCGATGACTAATTCTTTTGTTTCACTGCCGATGTCATTTGTATCTAAAGTAGACAACAAACGGTTGAAAAGCTTAGAGAAAACTTGATTTCTACCTTCACGCATTGTTTCAGCTGTACTACTTTGGCCAGGATTTGCTTCCATATCTTTAGCCATATTGAATATTTTATAAAATGGTCGTAGAAATCCTAATTGGTATCCACGATTATGAATAGAGCATAGATGGAATTCCAATTCATTGTTTGACAATTATATCATATACTTTTCAATGAAATTCCATTGGTTAATCTATCGGGCAATAAATTTCGTTCATTCACTCTCCAAGGACATCTTTTGATGAAAATTTCTTCGCAATTTCTTACTGGATAAATCTGACGTAAAAATCGAAAAAATTTTTCTTTAGTTGAATAACTAATCTTCTCAGGATGGTATTCATCGCCACAATCAATGTTATTCTCTTTTCCATTGCTGTCATTTGTTCATCGATTTCCAAACGAATGTGTGTATATTGAAATTCCATTTCAGAATAGTTTAGTTTTGTTCGTTAAAATATGTTATCTCCTCCTTCTCATCCACATTTACTGAGTCAACTCAAAATTCCATCATCCGTACGTCATCGTATTAAATAATATATAAATATCAATCATGTCAAAATCAATCCATCATTCTCATCTATCCTCATCAGCAGTACCAACACCTGATACTGAAATTCCGATACTAATGGAAAGTAACACTGACCATCGGCGTCAATCGGCATTAAGTGATAGGCGTCTTAATAACGTTAATTATGTTCGACATGTTCTACGAAGATTCTTTGGTGGTTCAAATAAGAAATCATCGCCATTGTCAGGTGTCGATGATAGTCCTTATGAACAATCACCGACATGTAGCATTTATCCGGAGGATTCATTATCTCCCATATTAATTCATCCAGCATTGCAATATGATAAACATACGAAGTTTTCCGGTAAACATTTGCAAAGAATAATATCATGATTGATGAGTATGTTCTAGGTGAATTATTACTCGATTGGTTAATGGTTCATTTCGAAGGTCGAGGGGAGCCGCCGACATTAAAACAAGTTTTAACGAAATGCTGTAAATGTCTCATATCTCTTGGTGTACTTCGAACTGAAACTGATCAAAACAGCGATACATTTCAAGTATGAATAATGTCTAAGTTTTCCTTTTTCATTCGAGATGACCATGCACAGAGGAAAATATAGAGAACCTTGCGTGAGAGTGAAGGTAATCAATGGTATTATATTGTCGTTCGTTGAGTATAGAAGCGGCAAAAACGATCAATGATATCCACGTAATTGCACTCGATAAGCAACGCTTTTTTTATGTGTGAATGTCATAAGTTACTTGACAGACACATTTTTCTTTTTGCGACAAACCATCGTAATCTGAACGTACCTAATCGAAACATCGCTAATCTATTTTTTATCATTCGAGCTCCCTCTTCTTTCTCTTCGATCAAAATTGACTTCCACAGACATCAATTTATCTTTTCGAAAAAACGCTATCAACTAAGAGACATTCAAGGTTAATAATCCATTTTAATTGAAGATTTCTTTTCGTATCAAATCAATAAGTTCATAAGCGTTGTTGTTAATAGTTTTACCTTGAAAAGAATGAGCAAGACCTTGATAAACTGTCTACGTATATTTATTTCCAAGTCCAATTAAATAATATAGGTGTCTGGAGACGACTATTATATAACCTTTGACATTGAATGTGTCGCGATGCTCATCAGTTGTCGACCGATGTTATAATTCTATTCATCGAAATATGTTCGAATGTTGTCTACACGTTTCGTTCAATTAACAAAATCAGCTGAAACATGCCGAAGAGAATAAGAAACAAGCATGAAGGATGCAGACAAAAAAAAATGAAGCGAATAATGCTAATTAAAACATTTTGAAGGAGCATCGCTTTTCTTTCATGTAATGTGCGCCGATCGAACAACTATCGTAAGAATCTACTGATTACATTCGTGTCGTTTTCGTGACTAAGCGCGTTATGGATTGTATGACATAAGAATTCACTTGTTATGTCAAACAAGCATTTCTATGAGTCATAATAAGTCTTGAATTTTTAGCACTGATGATTCATTGAAAATCTGATTCATGTTTTCTAATACGAGACCGATTATTCGCAATCATATTGTCATTTTCTCTTTTCAAATAGACGCAAAACTTGTATTCTTGGGCAAATAACGTAGATGATGATGATGTTGATGTCAAATTATTACCACCGCCGCCAAAGACGAACAATAGTTGTAAGTTTTCGAAATGTGCTTTTTTTTCTGATCAATCGTCTCTAATCGAGATGGCTGTAATTCAAAATGTGAAGCTTTCGATGTTGATGTTAACAGTCAAGGATATCGTGTCGATATCGGTTTTTTGTATTCTAGTCAGTTAAGTGTGACTGAAGAAGCAAAAGAAAGACAGGCAAGCAGGTATCATTGTCGTTTGCTCTTTTACCGTGCTTATAACACATTCTAGCATTCCTTCTTCACCGTACACTGCATTTTTCTCCGAAGGAAATCATTGCTGCTGCAATTATTCGCTCTACCTTCTCATATTTTTGTACTAAGCAATAGCGAATATCACGCTTTTTCACCTTCTTCTTTTTCTATCAATATTCACTCTTGCAAACAAAAAAAAAACACAGAATTAAGACATTGAAATAAACGTCGGTATCCTTCTGTTCAATAGTTAATCGTCATCTGCACGAAAACAAGGAAAATAAGCATAGACCATCGGCAACAACTACTATTTTGGATATTCTCCGAGTAGGTCTTGTTTTGTTTTCGCTGCTTATTGTAAATAAATCATCTAATGATTAGAACGAATACGGTTTGCACATCAATAGACATTCGACTGAGCGAAAGACTGTGTCAACGCAAGTTGATCCAGTCCTCGACAGAGAAAAGATTGAACAATCGATTCAAACCGATCAACTAGATCAACCCCTCACTCCATATTTCAAGGTAAGTAGATGACTAGTTTAAGAAAGAACTCATTTTCTACATGTTTTTTTTTATAGAAATGTTTGACATTTAAATTAAAACCAATGCCAGTCTCAATCATTTCCAATTCTCAATCGGATTGTGAACCGACATCTCCATCAACACATTGTTACGATGAAATCACTGTTCGACGAGCCATGCATAAATTACTATCATGTGATAATAGTAGTGAAACCTCGTCGCCCATTGATGATGATGTTCATTCATCATCACTCATCATTCGTCCTCCATTATCATTTAAAAATAATCATGCTAAATTTTCAAGTAATCCATTTCAAAATTACCTCTGTCTATGTACTCTACATATTGATTAGGTGAGTTATTGCTTGAATGGTTAGCATCTAACTGTGATGGAAAAGCTCCCACTTCACAAACATTCCCTCAACAAATCAAGCCATGTACAAATTCGAATAGTAATGACAGCACAGACGATGCCGAACTGCAAAAGGTAATCCGTGAATTTATTTATCTAAAAGTTATGTTAGTTTTTTGTTGTTGTATACAGGCTGTAAGTTCAGCGGCTTGTATGAATGAATCCAAATTAGCAGCAATATCAGATCGAATTCCAATTACTTCGACGATTTCATCACCTTCGTCACATCATCAAAAGATCAATGATGATGTATGTTCATTATTATCAGATCTGGTTATTCAAGTCGAAGAAAATTTCCAATCGTCTAAAGTATCATCACCTCCCATGTGAGTTTAATGTGTATAAAAGTGATTATTCTTATTCATTTCGATCTTGAATAGAACAAACAAATCATCCTCAACGATACCACCACCTCCACCTTTCTTTGTTGATACCACATCATCTTCAGCGTCGTTGAATACAAGTGCAGTACCACCGCCGCCCCCACCATTTCCAGAGTTTTTTGCTCCACCGCCACCATCATCTTCCGTTCCAAGTTCAACCGGTCCGCCACCACCACCTCCTCCTCCTCCACCCCCACCTTTTCCCGGTTTTGGAGGACCACCCCCACCTCCACCCGCTCCACCATTTCCAGGCTTCGGCGGTCCACCACCACCTCCACCATTTCCAGGCTTCGGCGGTCCACCACCACCTCCACCATTTCCAGGCTTCGGTGGTCCACCGCCACCTCCACCATTACCCGGTTTGGGTGTAGTGTCAACGGGCCCTGGTGGTGGACCTCCTCCTCCACCTCCAATGATGCCTGCCTTCGGTGGTATGTAGAAATACATACGAATGTTTATTTTGACTTCAATCCACTAACTAGGTCCACCACAACTACCACAATATTTACGTAAGAAACAGAAATATGCTATCACGGAATCAGTTAAGAAAGTTCAATGGAGTAAAGTTAGTGTATTCTTTTGTTTCGATAGTACTCATAGTTAAGACTTCTTATCTTAGATTAATCCTCATACTATCAAGAAAGATTCGATGTGGGTTCACGTCGATGAGGAAAAGTACATCAGTGACGAACTATTTTCGGACATTCGAAAAAATTTTGCAAGCAAAGTTGCACCAAGTAAAAACAAATATTAACGATTTAGTTCGAAAGAGAATTTCAATATACATTTTCTTCCAGCTAGACAACCGATACACGATCTTGTTGACAAATCAAAAGAATTACGTGTACTTGATTCAAAAGCTGCACAAAACTTTGGTAAGAATGACTCGTTTTCCTTTCCTAGTAGAATAGATCAATCGATCGTATGTTTTTTAGCTATTATGTTCAGTCAACTGAAAACTCCGCCAACGGTATTTCGTGAATGGATGCTATCATGTGATAGTGAAGCATTAAAAGATGATTTTCTCAAACAACTCGAAAAGTATCTCCCAACAGCTGAAGAATTAAAGACTTTATCTGAGTTTAAAAATGAAATCAATGATTTACAATATTCAGAACAATACATTTGTGCAGTAAGATCCCATTGGAATCCACCACACTGATCACTCTATTCTTATCTAGATCGGTGATATTAAACGGTTGAAACAACGATTGAAAACCCTTTTATTCAAAGCCAGTTACAAAGAAACCGTGGAAGAAACAGATAAAGTTTGTTCACCTAATTGGCAAATAAAAGCACTTCAGTTTTTCTCTTTCGTTCTTTCTAGGCATTCGTTGAAGTTCGAACAGCTTGTGATCATGTTCGACATTCCATACGATTCAAGAAAATGCTCGAATTGATTTTAACTGTTGGAAACTATATGAATTCCAGTGCGAAATCATATGAACCTATCCATGGATTTGACATCAGTTTCTTACCTAAAGTAGATTTGAACAAAATTTTTCGATTGCTTCCATTTGAACTTCATCTTGAATAGCTTCATTCGACCAAAGCCAATGACGGTCGTCGATCGTTACTTCATTTCATTGTTCAAGCAATCGAAGACAAACATCGTGATTTACTCTCGTTTGCCGATGAATTCTACGCGTTAGCGGATGGAGTCTCAAAAAGTAAAATCCGATCAATTGAATTCAAGAAAAAGAAACGATTTGGTATTTTAGTTAATATCTTGGAATTACAAAAACAACCGAAGGATATCAGTCGGGAATTGAAAAACGCTCGAGAAGAATTAACCATTGCAAAAAATGCCGATGAACAAATTGAAGGAGATAAATTTGCCGAATCAATCGAAGTTCGACTTATCAATCGATCGTAAACTTTCCTGTTCACTCTTGTTGTTGTTGTTCTTTCCAGGATTTTATTACTCGAGCTGATGACGATGTGACACGATTGGAACAATTAGATACAGAAATGACTCACGCTTATCAAGACCTATGCGATTTCTTGGCGATCGATCAGAAAAGTTATTCACTCACTGAATTTTTCACGGATCTCAAATCATTTTGCTCGTTTTTTTCGGTATGTCAATTTGATCACGTCAATATTTCTCTTACAATCCTTCGCTTTTCTTAGACATGTCTTCAAGAAGTACGTGCATGGCGTGAACAGGCTGCGAGAGCTGTTAAAACTTCGTAAGTATTTCCTATAAGAAAGATGAAAGAAACAAGAACTTCACACGTAAATCCAATACTCCCTAAATACTGATTTAGTCAAAATTTAATGTCTACTTCACAATATTTTGTCCGTACATCTTCCCGTCGTTTTCCTGCACGATATGATTCTACCGAAGATTTCCTCATGGCAGCTGCTGAAAGTGGTTCATCGCCAACACGTGGTTCATCTCCGTGTATAGCATATCGGCGGCAGGTAGCTCTATTGACATAACCGCGCTCATACATATTGACACACAGAATGATGAATTGCATGTTTTGCTTTGTTTTTTTTTCGAGGATAGATATCAGAACACTGGGTATTTTTTCCTCTTTAGAAACACCCAATCGTCTGTCGAGAAAAGGACTCTCGATATTCCAGATGATTCGACTGTCGTACAGCGTCGTCCGCTATCACGCATTGAAGACTTAATTGATAAACGCAAAACCAATCGTGGCTTGACCCCATTGAGTACACCAACCAAGCGGCGATCTCAGTCGTAGAGAATGATTCGATCTTCTTTCCTTTTTCAATGCTGTCCAACTCATATTTATTTTTCTTTTCTTTTTATCCAGTGAACATTCTTTAATATTGAGTATTTCTTACTTAATAAAATATTTTTTTGGTTCATTCTTGACTTCAAAATCTATGTCGAGTTTGTTTACGTAGCAGAATACGTGATAAATTTTTTTTCTATCTGTTAAATCTTTTCTTTCTTTCCTTCTTTCTCCTCTTTATTTTTCTTGTCTCTTCGTGTAATGTTATTATTCGTGAAAAATAATTGATCAAAGGAATACATGCATATAAATTTTGTTATCACTATCATTCTTTGTTTTTTTTCCCTCTCTTCTTCTTACAGATGGAAATCGAATGTCCAGAATGTCATTCGACAAAAAAACGAAATCCCAAGATGAAATTGATGGTCAGCAAATGTGGCCATTCATTGTATGTCACCGAAAGACATTGAAAAGTTGTCCAACTATTTCTTTGCTGTAGGTGTGAAACTTGTGTCGAAAATAAGTTCAGTAAAGGAACAGGCTTTTGTCCCACATGTAAAGCTGATTTGAAAAAGAATGGATTTCGTTATCAAATATTCGAAGATCCATTTGTAGAATTGGAAATTGATATTCGAAAAAGACTTTTGAAAGAGTAAGTGAAAAGATCGGTGACGATGTTTCTCAGTGCTGTTTCTTCATAGTTTTAATCGAAAAGAACAAGACTTTGCGTCACTCGATGCTTACAACGATTATTTAGAAATGGTTGAAACATACAGTAAGAAAGTGATGCAATGACACCTGTAGGATCATATAAAAGGTAAATATGAATACGTGTGTTTTAGTATTCAATCTCTCGAATAAAGTCGATGTCGAAGAAACCGAACGGAAGATTTTGGAGTATAAAGAATCGAATAAGGAGATAATTACAAAAAATCGTGGTAAATTGGTAAATGAAATTTTTCGTGGAAAACTACCATTTTGTTTGTCATCGATGATGTTTAGAGTAACGATGAAATCTATATCGAACATTTAATCGAACAAGAACGTGCGGCTGAAGAAATGCGAAAGCAAATCTACGAACAGGAACTTCAGAAAGAACAAGAAGCAAAACAACGTGTTAAAGATGATCTTATGAGTGCGCTGGTAAATACAATGTGAACTGGCTCCGGAGTGAACTGAATGATTGAATTTGTATTTTCAGCTCCATACGGAAGGAAATGTCGATCAGGTATTGAAGAAAAGTATCGAAGATCTGGAGAAAAAACGGAAAGAAGACGTTCAACCGATTCTACCGAATATGGTAAAGTTGTCGATTGTCGATTTCATTTTGATAATAATAAACTTGTATTTTTCAGATCAAGAGAGAAGAAGATATTCTAAATTCATTAGCTAACGATCAAATTCAATATAGACTGTTTGAATACACACCACCAACGTACGATCATCAAGGACCGCCTGTTCCTGATCGAACAGATCTCGAGCAGCTAGGGTAAGAAACAGAGCGAGTATTTACTTTTTCTTTGACCTGTTTTTCTCTAGCTATTTGGATAACGTTCGTCAAGAAAGACCAGTCGAACGAGCCGGTGGTTACACGCGAGAATATCCATGCTTACGTGCAATTCAAGAAGCATTCGATATGTTATTATTCGTTAGAGACAATTTGTTGAATAATGTGAAAAAAGAGACGATTTCTGAAGATGAACCTATGGAAACTTAACTTAATAAAATAATCTTCTTTTCGTATTCTAGATTGATCTAAAATTTGTCAGAAATATGCAATTAACATTACCTCTATCATTGAAAGGTGTAACCGAACTCAATCGAGATGAGTTCACTCAAACAATTCAAGTTCCATACGTGAATATTCCTGGCGAACATATTCATTCGTCGAAATGGAAAGATTATTTACTTACACTACATTCATTCAAGAATGTTCGTGATCTAGAAGGACGATTCAAACAAGTTCTATTCGATCCTGACATAATCAAGACAAAAGAGGGCATTATTGAACGCATTCCATCGATCGAAGAGTTTGTCGAACAATCATTTGATTTCACACAAATTTCAATCACATATGACAATTATACCATTGAACAAGTGATCAAAGCAATTATACCAGACGATTTAATAACGGACAAACGAGTTAATACTGGTTCGGGATATAGTATTATTGGACATATTGCTCATTTTAATCTTCGAGATGAAGTTTTACCGTATAAACATATCATTGGTGAGTAGAAGAAATGATTTATTTTGAAAATATCTCTTTCGATAAGAATTGTAGCGCAAGTGATACTTGATAAATTAGTAAACGTTAAAACCGTTGTGAATAAATTACATGAGATCGATTCTGTTTATCGTAATTTCGAATTGGAAATCATTGCTGGTGAAGCAAATACCATTGTGCAATGTCGAGAAAGTAAAGCAACGTTTCAATTTGATTTTGCTAAAGTCTACTGGAACCCTCGTTTGAGTAATTATGTTCACATATCGTTCCTTCATATTCACACAGCTTAATTAAGGTACTGAACGCGAACGTATTTTTGAAATTCTTCGTCCAAATGATCTCGTTATCGACGTGTTCGCTGGAGTTGGACCGTTTGTTGTTCCTGCATCGATGCTTGGTTGTACTGTTTGTGCGAATGATATTAATCCTGAATGCTACAAATGGATGCAAGTCAATTTAAAAAAGAATCAACCAAAAAAATCACCGAGAGAATACCAAATCTATAATCTTGATGGTCGAGATTTTCTACAAACAATTGCATTACCTCAGATCGAAACTTGTCAGAAGGAAAGTCTGAATCAGTCGGAGAATATGGCATCGAATAAGAAAATTGTTATTCTTATGAACTTACCTGAGCTTGCGCTAACATTTTTGGACGTTGTTTCTGAATGGCTATCGAGAGATATTGAAGAAAAACAACAATGGATAATACCAATTCATATCTTCTGTTACACATTTTCCAGAGTGGATGATCGTATTGAAGACGTCCGAATACGCTTGAAAACGATTATGCCGAATGTGAATGACGATCTTGTATCTTGTCGATTCGTACGACAGGTCGCACCGTGTAAAGATATGATGTGCGCCCAAATACGCTTATTTGAGAAAAACTAACGACGAATTGTTAACAACTTCTCTAATGAATTCTTTTTTTTTCACTATTTCAGATGTCTTCGTTGAATTTAATCAAAACGATTCTTATTGAAGGGAATATTGGTGTTGGCAAATCAACGATTATGTCTTATATTGCATCGAAATATCCATCGAATCTTGTTCAAGTTCATTGTGAACCTGTTGAGAACTGGATGGATATCAAAGGTTTTGATCTTCTCAATGCTCTATACACGGAAAGTACTCGATGGACATTTACATTCGAATTAACTGCACTTCTGTCACGAATTCGAAACCATATGAATTCACGATCGAATCAGCATATAAACATCTACGAACGTTCGATTTTGAGTTGTTTCAACGTATTCATCGACCACGATCGTGAACAAAACTATTTAAATGACGTTGAATATCGTATTCTTCAGGATCATTACCAATATGGTTTGGAGAAAACAATCGATCTGTCATCGACAGCTATATTATACTTCGATCTATCACCTAAACAATGTTATGAACGAATTGTTAAACGATCGAGACAATCCGAAGCATCGGTGGACTTAAAACGTCTCGAAGAACTTAAACATCATTATGACAAATTCATAAAAAACTTCAATATGTGTCCTGTGAAGATCATCGATGCATCACAAACGATCGAGCGAACTTGTCAACAAATTGATACCTTATTAAGTGAAATGATTACGCCAAACTCAAGTCAATAATTGAATATGAATGTTAAATCGAATGCAATCTTGAATCTTCGCTGTCATTTACTCACGCAATGTCAAAAATCATGTTCTTGTTTTCTGTCAGATTATTTGTTCTTTTGTTATGTTACAAATAAATTCAGTCACCCATATTGATCGGGTCGAGATCAAACTTATGTTTATTACTGAGGAAATTTTCATAACAAAATAAATTAAGTCGGTAACAAAAATGGCATTTGACGATAGAATGTCGCGTCGTTCAATGGCAGATCAAGCTTCGATTTGTTTATTAGAAGTTCTTCTAAACATTGATAGGCAATAGGATCAGCATTGATGTGAAATTTATTTGCGAATAGTTCATGACGATTGAATAAGGTCGATAGATCAACTGTACCAAACACACATATACCACGTATAATACGTCCGTAACAATTTCGTTCGCCCCAATTCACGAATCGTGCTGTCCAATTAGTCGGATCACTTTTTGCTAAAAGAAAAAAGAAAAATACGTCTATTCGATGTTGAAAGAGTTCTCCGTGGAGATTGTTCATACTACTCAATTATTCAATTATACGTACCTTTATAACCTCCCGGAGGATGTAAATGTGTATTATAATTCAATGTTGCCCAATAATGTTCATCAGGGCTGTATGTATCACGCGACCAATCTAATAATTCTTTTGCTATTGAACTCGTATGAACGAATTCAATGAAAGCTCGTGAAAAAGCACCTAAATACCAGAAAAATTCGCATGGTTAGAAAACAAGAAAAGGAAACATTTTTCTTCTTATACCATAAGCTGATCCTTTAACAATTTCAACATTTCCAGGCGGCGGTTTTTTCTTTTCATCAGTTTTTCGTAATTGCGGCACTTGTTCCTGATTTCCATTGGCTGTATCTATCACCTGCCAAGCGTATTCTGTTCGATGCATATTTCTTGATTTCCAGCGTCCTTCGATATCATTGTATCCACGGTAAATAGTCAGAATTTTAACTAATTCACTGTTTGTTTTCAGTGGGAGTTCAGTATTAGCAGCATTTAGTAAATATTTCCATGATGGATATTTAATGAGGTCTTCCATACAGTTGATATCTGCTTGTAAACGTGAGAACGTTGCGTAAAGAACCTTTTCTTGTTTACTTGCGAGAATGATATTATCAAAGCATTGAGCAATGGATTTAACAGCTTGTAAAACGTGCGGTGAGGCGTCCTTGTCAACATGAACGCAGTAGAAGTTTTGTGGACGGTAGAGGATACGTAAAAGACGTTCAAACTGTTCGACATTTTCATACATGAGAATCGAAAATGCTAAAGGAAACTTGCGATTTATCGACGTGTCTTCGTGATGAAATTGTTCATTAAAACGTTCTGAACGATAGTTCTGACATTGTTCTTTCGTAATATTATACGACTGATCGGCAATGGTAGATGGATTTTTTAGATCAGCTAAAAGTGCGAGCGCATGTTTTAACTCATCCGAGTCACTTTCGTATAAATTCTGACAGGAAATAGGGTAATAAAACGGTTGTAAATGTTGAAATAGTTTTGTATTTGACGACGCTTTTTGGTTTTTATCGTCGGAGAGAATATTTATCAATGGAAACTTAATCTCTTTGGAAAATGAATCATGCCGTTTGAAAAACGACAAGTGAATAAATTCCAGAATGAAGAATACGCTGAGAAAAAACAGGCAATTGTTTCTCAATAAACGACGATTGATTGCAAACTGCATTGGCCATACTCTCTTCAATGCGTTCCTCTATCTAAGCAGAAAATGAAATAATTTGCTTGTAAATATTTCAAACCTACTCATTTTATTCGACTAAAAACAAGCCATGTAGATACTTGTTCAGCCTCTCTATACAAGACGAGTAAGAAATGTCTTCGTCGTTCTTTCTCTTCTCCGTTTTATTTTATTTTAAAGGTGCTCATTCTCTTCTGACTTCTTTCTTTTTCTCATTTACTCACTCGCCATCGCTTTCAATTCTTTCTTTACTATATATTCCATGTCTTCCAATACATAAATCGATCAACACTGTCCGATTGAACTCTTTGCATAAATACACACGTACTCACAGATCAGATTTCGTTTACACGTTCGAACGATGCAATACGAAAATACGCACACCGAATATTGTAATGATGAGACTTCTCTCTCGTTCTCGTTTATTTTCTACTTCGGAAGTTTTTTCTCTCGTGATTCCCGCGGAAAGGAGGAAAGAAAGAAAGAAAGAAAGAAGGAGAAAAGAAAAACACAACACCGATACTTGATTCTGCTCGCGAGAAAAATTTTCAAAATCTGTTTCATATCAACTTTCACTAGACTATACACAGCTATCTTGAGTCAACATAAATTCTCTTTCCGAAAAAAATTGTCATTTTTCCACTCATACGACGTTTACATTAGCCTTCAAGTATTCTCTAGTTCCCGAGAGAAACTCATGTCTTACAAACGCAACGAGTTATTCAATTTTAGGTACATTACTCAACACGATGCGTATTGTTTTACTCAGCAGTAATCGAAGATTGCCAAACTACGTCTATAATCTCAATATAAAATTGCGTCATTCGCTCTCTTTTTCAAATATGTCTATCGAACAGGGAAGCAAAAGAATAATATGTATGTAACATACTAGGTACTCATTTGTCGTGCGTTCGACAAGACTGATTTTTTTCTTCTTTTGCATGGGAGTGTCAAAGAAATTAAAAAAAACATCGCCGTGAATTGAATGTCTTCATTGGCAAATTTTGTTATACATTGACAGACAAAAATGCCTTGTGGAGATATTTACTAATTGATGGTAAGTATTGTGAGACAACGGGAAATTTTCGCATTTTTAACTTGATGATGTAAATGTGCTTCCTTGCTTCGTGTATACATAAATCGATTTATCGCTACGAATAACATGTGTTTCAAGCGTGATGAATGAGATTAGAGAAAAGAACACACAGAAAGAAATGTAAATCTAATAAGGCTCAATTTTCGCGCATATTTTAATCGTTAATGAATGAAATTCTTGAACAACAATTAACAGATGAGCAAATCAATCAATTACTTCAAACTCGATTTAATCGTTCGGAGATTCTTGATTGGTATCGAGCATTTGTGAAGAATTGTGGGAATAATCGATCGTTTTTAACTTCAAGTTTGAATAAAACGCTGTTTATCGACTATTTTAATCAATTACATCCAAATGGAAACGTAACACGTTTAACCGAAACATTCTTTCGCACCTATGATATGAACAACGACGGTCGAATCGATTTCATGGAGTTTATGCATGCTGTGAGTATCATCCGTCGTGGTGATTTAACTGAAAAGCTTTCATTAATCTTCTCATTACTCGATGCCGACCAACAAGGTTACATCGATCGATTGAAACTAGTGAACATGATGGAAGCGTTGTATGATGTCAAAGGCATCGATTATAACGACAGTTATAATGTCTTGTTAAGAAAAGTGGACAATCTCATAGCAAGACTGGATAAAGATAAAGAAGGCGGACGAATTTTGCGATACAAGTTTATTGAGAGTTGTATGAATGATTCGACTTTAAGAGATTTACTTAGTGCATATAAATGAGTGCAGATACTAACTGAGCTGTTCATCCTATTGCACGAATATATTGTGAGAAAAAGAAAATGGTCGATGAATTCAACAATGACCTGTCTATTTGAAATAGGATACCTTAGAAAGAAATTACTCAAAGCAAAGCATAGAACGCACAAGCATTTTAGCTTAAGTTCGCAGATTAAGAGAAGCTGCATGAAGCTTTGTGATTGAATTGAATCCATAATTTTGAAAGAAGAGCGTCGCGTAACAACGACGTTATCAATTTCTTCGAAACATTCGTTGGTAGTTGGTGATAACCATATGAAATTCTTTTCTGTACACAGTTGATGGTAAAATAAATAAAATGAAAGTAAGTGTCGATGGGATTAATGAAATAAAATATCCCGAAAGGAACAGCCACGGGTTGCTAGTTGGTTTCATACAACCGGATGCGAATGTGATTATCAAACGTGGAATCACAAGAAGAACTAAAACGAACGGAGCAATAAGAAGATTTTTATGTTTGTGAATTTCTTCCTTCAAAACCGATTTAGGATTTTGTCCAGCTCCGACTACTGCTTTCCGTTGACGGGTTTTGGTGATTATTATCACACTTGCCGATAATATATTGATAAGAAATGGAACGATCGAATGAAAACCATTGATAGCATAGTCAAATACACCAAAACCGTTTTTCGTCATCTTCGTTTTCTTCATATAAACTTCGATGAATGGGATCGTGAATATTCGTTGAAATTATCAGAAAAAATAGAACACAGACGACATATTTTGCCGCTACTTGCGCCTGTTTCTGATTAAAACTAACGCCTTTGATTGTAACAAATGCTCTTTCGATTGACACAAAGGAAGTTAACCATTGATCCATTGCTAAACATGATCGAAGAATAAAATCAATACAAATACATTCAATTTTTAAAAAAGATTTATTCCGGATCGTTTCGATTTGTGTGAGTATAAGTATCCAAAACTTGAAGGTGAATATAATCATGGTCAGTAAAACAATTATTGACGAATTTAATAGATAAATTGCACAACCAGATTCCAAAAGTTTCTTACTTTTAAATGTTATCGAAGACAAAGCACCATTAACCAGTCCGACAATGATCAAAACTGTACTAACAATTATACTTATCAGAACTGCGCCTGACTGCTTGAAAAGATTGATTTTTGGGTGAATGTAAAAGCCGAGAATAGCGTCGAGTGAAAGACTGAAACCATTCGTTGTCAACTGACATCGCACTCCGTAATAACATTCGGTACATTCACATAGGAAATATTTGGGACATTTTGAGTTTTCTTCATAACAATTTCCTCCGTTTTCACAATCATTTTGTCTCGCACAGGTTGTACGCGAATGACGATCGAAATCAAAGCAATTCGCTACACGTTGTTCATCAAGCTGTTGACAGAAACAAAATTGTTGGTCATCGTAAAAACATGTCAATGACGAATTTGTCTGACATGGTATGTGATAATATTTTATACGACGAAGTAAATGGTAATTACGAAATGTTTCGTTAAACAGAGCATTTACTGACAAACATCGATCGGATGAAGCTAACGTTTTTTCGATGATTCGTTGATATGTGTACTTCTTTTGCATTAGAGCTAAATAATATCGTTGATTGGGCAATTCGACAAGCACAACGTGAAAAGGAAATGACCAGTAAATCGAGATGAAATTTTGTCCCAAAAGGATTCGTTTGAATGTAGTTGTTCGTATAGGGAAATTGTTAATCTGTACTTCGATAAAATGGATGAATATCACTAAATGCGGATCGAGACTTTCATCATATGATATCAAAAGTTTCGTTCGAGCTAGTTCACATCGTACACCAAAGAAATTTTTCGGGCAAATACAGATAAATCTATTATCTGGCGACAAATCAGCTTCATCAGTGCGCACACATGTGCCACCATTCATACACGGTTGACTTTGACATATGTAATCTGGAATTAAACATCGAGGGCCGATTTTAGTTATCGGACAAACGCATAACGATCGATTATTGGCTATTTTACCAAGACACAATGATCTGGATGAGCATAAACATTTATACTGAATATGACAATATCGCCCGGACCATCCTTCATAACATTGACAAAAGGATGTACGGTTCAAATCGTTAAAATATTTTATACATTTGCCATGAAGACATTGTTGGTCGACACAAGTCTCAATAATATCATTACTATGTGGAATATCCAATTGAAAAGCGAGTCGATGAACAGGTAAGAACGTATAATTGACTGATTTAAGAAAGCTTCCTCGATAGTTTAATGTGATTTGTTCATAAATGTGGATCTGTATAGAATATTGCCTATGCATATTTTTCGGCCGAGTTGAATATAACAGGTAGAGATTAAATTTTCGTTGGCAATTTTTTGCAAATAAGTAAGTAAATTGATGAAACGAGTGAATAAGTCGTTCATCGCTATCGTCGATCAATGAAACAACGAAAAGGAATGGAGTTTCCGATGAATTCGAAGGTGCACGAAACTGTAAAGTAATACTAATTCGCTGATTTTGATATTGGCAAGTATTGCCATAAAAACTCGGTGGACAAAGACAAACGTCACGTGTTAAATTTGTGTCTTTATTGAAGGAGATTTGTAACGGAAAACCACGATGACAACGCTGTTGATAGAAGCGGAATTTCTCGGGACGGTAAGAGGGAAGAATTTCTGCTATATCACTTTTATAAAAAAGCGGTTGTTTGGGAGTATTCGAATTTGAATCGAATGTAAAATATGCTTCCGATCTCTTTCCTGTATTGTAAAATAGTCTGCAAAGCACTTTTGCGAAGACAGAGCCATGTAAACGATAATTTAATGTACAAATGCCGGACTCGACTGTCGGATATTTCACATCATCTCTACTGCAAGCGTTCTCATCTTCTCCGTCAGGACAGTCGAAAATGCCATTACATAGTGAATTGCCTTGAATACAGGAAGATTCTTTGTTGGCGCTACAGTAAAACGGGCTGGAACCATAAGTTTGATACCTCCGATCACAAAAGCTGGGCTCGTCTGCAGCTCCGATACAATCAATAACACCATCATTCGCTTTCTCAATAGGTAGACAAGTTAAACTTTTCGTTTGAATTGATATACAGATATGAGAATTTTTTGAACAATTTAAAAGCGATATCAATAATGGATCACAATCGACTTCATCGGAGCCGTTGGGAAAATGCCAGAATCCGTCACAACGATTATATACATGAACCAGTGGCCAATATTCGCAATTTGTTTCGTCCGTTTCTTGACTATCGTTCGTAGGGCGCCAAAGCAAATGTTCCTCGTTGTCGCAAATAGTCTGAAATGAAATTTTCTTTCGAAAGTAAAATCGATCGGACATTTCATCAGCACAGAAGGTATTATCAGATGTCTGACAGTCGCATTTGTATCCATCGTTCACTTGACGAGCGGGAACGTATTGGTCGGTCCCTGGACATTTAAACGCATTAGGTAATTGCTTCATGAAATGCGTGTCTTGGAGTTTCGATGAATTTTCATCGTCTGCATAATAGCAGTCGGATATTCCGTCTAAAACTTGAGTTTTTAAAATTCGCTTTTCTGAATTTGCACATTGATAGGTACTTGATTCGCTAAAGATCGACGATGCATTGTAATTTGGCCGTGCCACTCTATTCAACCACCTTTCAGCAAGCAAAACGTATCGTTGTAACCATCTAACTTCAAACCTATAATACGAATTAACGATAGCATCTTCATAAAGACGGCAAGTTCTATTATCAGATATGAACAGTGTTTTGCCGTCATTGGGTATGTGAAAACGACTGCTGTCAAAACAAATGTACGTAGGTTTAAGCGGGTGCTGTCTATAGTTTGTTTCAGTTTTAGCATATCCTATATAGCCATGACCATTAAAAATCGGATATGCAGGAACGTACATCACATCTGGGCAATGTTTCTGAACCATTGCATCGCAGAAACCATTTCTGCAAAGCATTGTACAATTCGTTCTTGGAGGTTGAAAATAATTTGCCAATGTTGGCAATAATGAATCTGGCATCTGTATGATACACTTCATCGCTGTCCAACACTCGTCATGCAAGAGATTGGGCTTAATTGAGAACATGGCTTTTGACAGAAGCATCTCACGCTCATAAAGACAGGAGCTGCTAAGAAAGGGTGTACTTGAACTACGTGTATTATATAGCCATCTACATGAAACGTCCTCGAATTTAAATATGGGCTCGTTAGTGACAAATTCAAATTTTTCTAAATATTCAAGTGATGCGTGAATTTCATCAGATCGATCCAAACAATCAGGAGTAAATGGATTATCAAAAACGAATGCTACAGGTACACACTGCCCATAAGAACACCGAAATTCATTCTCTCCACATTGGTGCATTTTTAATTGCCAACAATCTTTTTCATCTACTCCATCATTGAAACAATCGATTTTGCCGTCGCAAATTTCTGTCCAATCAAGACATGCCGGCGATGGTCCACGATCGCATTCTAAATGACTATAGCAAGTAAATTCAGTCGGCTTATATCTGTTGAAAAAATAATAATCGTAAACAACTTCGTTGAATGATGTATAATTAACATAGGTAGTGATTAATTTGTATTGGCATTTCGAACCGAAATATGGTAAGGTACAATTGTAGAAGAGTTTGCTTGCCAATAGTGTCCGATCAGAATTGGGAAGTTGGTTTAAATAGAGCTGATACTCTTCAATAAGATCAATCGGTGCTGACCAAAGATATAATTGTTCAGTGGTGACATTCCGTTTTGAGAGTTGCGAAAAATTGAATTTTGGATCCAAACCGGTGTCTGTTATATTGAATTTCGACGGCCAGTCATCTATACAATAGGAGATTATTTGACGAATATCATATTTGTCTTCGACTCGAGCTGCAGCTTGCAGACAATCATGTTGCGTGTCATTGTTTTCATCCTCGAAATCTGTCAGGTGAAAATTTATTTGAATCTCGAGTTTTCCCAAATATATGAATAAGAAAAAGAATAAATTTCTCGCGAGCAGCATGTTGCTCTAATTGGTTGTTAATGGAAAAGTAGCGAGATTCTTCTTTGATATTTAAAGATCTTTTTACACAACAGATGCTAGTAGATAAAATGTATGTGAAGGTGAAAAAATTATCGTTAGTATTTTCAAGCATATGGAGATGTTGTTGAACACATAAACTGAAATGTATGAAAAGAAATGATTGGAAAACGATTTGTTCACCCATGACCTCTCCGCTTTCCATATTATTATCATACAGGACAGCCGGTATACAAGCATCCGTTCGAACTATACTGAAAGTCAACATCCGCATTTTTCTTATTGGAAACAAAAATTGAAACGAAACGAAACGAAACGATAGTTATTTTATTTTGTATATAGTTTTAAACTGCTTAACATCGTATTTGAATTGTATCTAACACCCTCTACGATGATAGACGAATCAATACTAAATATGAATCATGATGTGAGGAAAATCTTTGACTGTTATCGTGATCAGACTTGAATGTAAATAAAAACTATGTCTTTCTTTCGTTCATTCAATATAAATACTAAAGGTTAGGTTTATTCATCATTACTCTCATTGATCTTAGTTATTCTATAGAAACACCTGCAGATTATGGTCAAGCACAACCGAACAGTTGTTATAACATTCAGCAATGGCCATACTATCGAGATCTAGCTATTCAATCCGGTATAGAACCACTTAAATTGTAATGTTTCGTCCTTATGGAATCTTTAGGTCACTCGGCAATTTCATCTGAACTCGCCTCGCTTCGTTATTCTCGTCTCGAACGTTCTCTCTATAATCTTGTTTACACACCCAATGACGAACTCGATCAGTTTATTCTCTATCTTGACTCCCGCTCGTTCGCCCCGCATTTACAATTTATCCTTGAAGTGAACAATTTCGAAAAAGTCATTCGAGAAAACAGTATCGACGATCAGCAAACAATCGCATTAACATTATTTCATAAATATTTATCCATTGATGCAAAATATTTCCTTCCAATCAATGACGAAATTCGACGAACAACTTTATGTAAATGACTTTTATTGAAATGATGCGAAACATATGTCAGTTTTTTGTAGTATTGATTTGCCCTTCAGATGAAAGTAGTCAACCTGATCCGAATTGTTTTCAAATGGCACGAGAATATATTTGGCAATTGATCGAACGGAGGTTTTCCTTACTGATCCAGCTGTTGTCTCAATAGATTGTCGAGCTGTTTTTTAATTATAGTGAATATCAAACTTATCTACAGAGTAGTTTTCATATTAAATATCAACTGAAGATCGTGAAAGGAAATCAATTACAGTTACATGATTTTCTTTATCACAAACCATCATTGTCGTATTTGATAGAAGTAAGAAAAGGAGAACAATGCGTATTTATATGAATACTATAGGATTTAGTTTGCAGAACGAGAGAATATTATTGATCTCGTTCGGTTTTGGATTGATGTCGAACAATTTTATCACAATATTACAAATCGAGAACTTAATGATCAAATACTCGTCGAAAACGCTCTCTCAATTTACGATCAGTAAGAACGAAAAATTGCTAATAATAGATACACATAACTAGTTATGGTATAGATACATTTCTATGCAAGCACCTGCACGCTTAGGTTTCGATGATGCAATTCGAACAAAGATCGAATGTAGTATTTGTCAACCAGATCGAACTATTGGTCCATTGGTTGATACATTTGATCAAGCAGTTTGGATGATCTATACTATTTTACAACAAGTATGCTATTCATTATCTGAATCAGAACACAAAACTAGACCTTGCTTAGGAATATTTTCCTCGGTTTCTACGCAGTGTAAGCTTTCATCGATATACAAATGACCTTATGATCAGATTAAAACACAATGATTGTGTTACTAGTTTCCAACGAAAGAAATCTAATGACTTTGGTAACGAATGATGATGCTTTCCTTGGTCTCTATTGTCATTGTTTATTTTCGTAGATTCAATCTCGGTTGAACTCGAAAACGTACCTCAGGCAACATCGTTCGGACATCAAACAGGTATTACGAAATCGTCATCCTGTTCAAATATCAATGACGAAATCGAAGCGAAATCTAAAGGGTAAAAAATGAATAGCTGCGAACAAGATAAACCAATGTATCAATCTCTTTAGAAGACTATCCATGGGATATGTGGACTCCTTAGGTCGTTTTATTCGTGATCATGATGTTACTTCTACTGATATATCTTCAACTCCCAATCGTAAACCATATTCTAAACCATTACAATTTTTCACCCACTTAGTCCGCAATGAGCCAGATTCGATGGTTAACTTATTTGTTTGCTCGTTGAAAAAATATACATCCGTGTGTTTTTAGGTAACGGAAGAAGATGCAGCACGATTTGCAGCAACACTTATTAATGAAATCACCAATCGCACTGTTAACATAGATACCGACTAGATCATTTTTTTTCTTCCATTTTCATGCGTTTTTATATTTTATAAATATGTTTTAGATCATGATTTCTATGAATGAGCATTCGGAAGACAATGCTCTTCCCTTGTTAACATCGTGTGAACATTTATCAACACCATCTTCCTCTTACGATCACGTCACAGAACTTAATTTATCAAATTTACAACTGATGCAAATCGATACATTTCCATTTGAACAATTTCCATATCTTCGATCACTTAATTTATCTCATAATCAATTAACATCCATCAATCCTGACTGGGCAAAATCATCGACGAATACAATTGAATATCTCAATCTAAGTTCGAATAAATTACAAACACTCTTATTTCTTCAAGATTTCAAATATTTGCAAACATTAGATATCACTGATAATCTACTCGGAAAACATGAACGATTTTTGGTATTAGATATTTGTCCAGCTCTTCAACATATCATCGATTTTAATGAGGAACAAATCCATCATGATCAAGTGAAATTCAATCATTTATTGACGATTATTGAATCTGGTCCCTTCACCATTGATTTGCATAATTTTCGACAGAGAATGATTGATCGCATCGAACAAGAGGACATTTATTCCGAATTTTCTCGATCACCTCTAGGAAACTATATCATAGACAAAAGATTCACTAAACTTTCCCTACAAATGGAAACATCATTAACTAATGAATTCAATTTTTCGTTGAAAATCTCTGCTGATTCCAAAGATCTCTTTCAACCCATTAAGTTACTTCGCGCACATCATCAAACAAACTCACAATTACGTTCACTCGCCGTTCATATGTGTGCATTCGAGCCGAATACACCGGAAAACATTCTCGCTACTTGTGGTGGTTACAAAGTATGTTTTACCAATTGTGATGCATGTGAAATTACGCATTTATTTGAAATTAATACATTGTCTTCTGTGAGCTCATCGACCACAGGTCGAAAAACAAAGAATAAAAAGAAAATAACACAAATGGATCATTTTACATGTTTATGTTGGATAGAAATTAATCATTCAAACGAAGATCCATTGAAAATATTGGCGGTTGGAGCAACAAATGGTTCGATCTATCTCTTGCTACCGAAATGGAAACTAATGTTCGCACATATTGAGTTACCCGTAAGTCTGATTTTGTTAAACGGAAGAAAACGAAAACAATCATGTATTCATTATTCTTAGAACTCGTCGATCGGTTGTTTAACATGGAGTTCAAACAACCCATATCTATTAGCAATCGGTTCCTATCACACTGTACGATTTATTAATATTCGATCTTACATCGATCGTGTGCAATCGTTTATACATAAACAAAGTCAACCGACAACCCTTTTCGATTGTGATGACACGTCAATGTTTGTCAACAAAGTTTCTACGACACATGTTTATAATCTTTATGAAGGAATCGGTCCGCTGATAAATATCACTGATTTATTGTTTTATCCATTATCGAGGGACCGTTCTGTGCTTCTTGTCAGTACAACTTCAGGTCTTTTTCTTATCGACTATCAAGAAAAACAATGCCAATCACCTGTTCAACTTGCATTGCCAAAATCAATTTGGGCTGTCAGCGAACATATTGTATCTCTTCGTTTAATCGCACATCCGATTCGTCTAGTTGCTCTAAATATACTCGATCTCGACCAAATTTATTGTTTCAATTTAGAACAAGCACTTGAAAGTCAACAAATACATATTCATCATACATTTTCAAATCCTTATCCACAAAGCACAGCCAAATTAGCCGTGTTCTCCAAAGCGAACATGGCAGCTGAATGTATCGTCAGTAGTCAACAGGGCGCATTCTACTATCATCGATTTCAATCGAATACACATGACCAACAAGTGAAGATATTTATTCTTCCAAATATTCTATCAGCTGATATAAATGAATCTTATCTCTGTTTAACGACAAACACGAATCTCATCTGTATATATAAACGATAATAAGATATTTATTTCAATTTAACTTGTCAGACAGAACAACAAAAAGTAACTAAATTATAATATATTTATGTCAATCTTTTCTTCTTCTAAACAAATAAAGATGTACGACTGGAATTTTGTCTGTCTTTGAAACGTTGTACAGCATGATGACCTTGTGCAAACGTTTCGAACATGCCTGCTAATTTCGATGCATATTTCCGATCATTTTCAAGCATGATATTCCGATGATGTAATGCTCGACATAAGGAAATAATCATCAAAATGTGATATAAAAGAAAAAATATAGTAAATAAAGCAAACATATAATTATCGATTGATTTTGATATGTTTAATCTTCGAACAAGATATCCGATGATTGAATGCCAAATTGAATTCAATGAAATAAAAACGAGAGATACAAGTGTATATTTATCCAGCAATGTGAGGTAAGAGACAGGTGGAAGAAGACGTGATACCGACCAGCGGAACATGATCGAGGTGAGTAAAAGTGTGCCTAAATGACACGATGTATTTTATGGAAATGACAAAAAGATTTACGAACAAGTGATTTGAAGACGACTTTGTGGAAGGTCGGGAGCCACACCATAAACAGTCAGCGCGATGAATGTAATGAGAAAAATCAGAAGATAAACGTTCCAATAGAAATAACCGGGTCGTCGGGCAACGTAACATGTGACTAGGTAATGGAGAATAGTACATGACAAGACATATTTTATTTATGAATGAAGAAAATCTACCTAGATATGTGGATTGACGAATTGGTCGAAAACTGAAATCTTCAGTTGTTATTGTCGAACGTGTTTCGATATGTTCATAGAGAAACCATTCTTGTTGGGCTAAACAAATCAGTCGTCATTGAATTACGCTTGTTGATTACAGAAATACCTAGAAAAGCTTCGCGATTGACAATTGAGGGTTGAAAACGATTTTCAACAAGAATGCATTCATCTGTTGGACAACTGGCCACAATTTGTAGGGACAACTGTTGAACATCAGCTGGAAAACTGTTCAATTCAAGTTTTTCCCAAAATGTACCGACCACTTTGCGTATTTCCCAAACATAGATCGTATCGCAAGTAGTACTATCAGGTTTGACTGGTTCATCTAAATGATCCACAAATTCACTAATGATTTCCTGTTTAACATCGCCCAATGCATTTTTTATATAAAGATTCGGATTCCACGATGCTGCTGTTGGATCGTACAACCATCGTGCTTCGATAACAACTTCAGCGTAGAATTTCTCGTGTAATGTAATGACCTTGTGATGTAGAAAAACTACAAGTGACAAGGATAAAACGAAAATGAAACATTTTACTTCGCCGAGCCGGATAAATTTTACACGAAGCGATACTTCACGAGCCGGTTTGATGTTCGATGAACTTCTCAGCAGTAACGAATGAACATCGTTGGTGGATCGTTGTATTAGGACACGTTGGTGATTTGTGGATGAGTGTGTCATAGCTGAAAAAGAATGAAATGAAAAGAATATTGGTGCATTCGTATTCAAAATTTTTATCGGAATGAGTAAATATCATCCGATGACTGAAAATCTTTTCAGGAAAAGAAGCATCAATCAAACAGCTCGTCTTTTACTATAGACGGTGATCTTCTGTAATTAATGGTGATGATCTCCGGTGGTTTCAAACAATTTTCCTACGTGGAATGATTTCCGATGAGAAAATAGATGGTGTGTTTCTGGCGGAAACTCATAAGACTGATCCTTTTCATCGCTTTCTAACGTCATCATAATCAGAAAAATTCTAACAAGAACTTATTTGCATGACTTCCTATTTTTGGATACCGTGAAAGGTTATTATTATCNGGCTGAAGAAATGCGAAAGCAAATCTACGAACAGGAACTTCAGAAAGAACAAGAAGCAAAACAACGTGTTAAAGATGATCTTATGAGTGCGCTGGTAAATACAATGTGAACTGGCTCCGGAATGATCTGAATTTGTATTTTCAGCTTCATACGGAAGGGAATGTCGATCAGGTATTGAAGAAAAGTATCGAAGATCTGGAGAAACAACGGAAAGAAGAAGTTCAACCGATTCTACCGAATATGGTAAAATTGTCGATTTCATTTCGATAATAATAAACTCGTATTTTTCAGATCAGGAGAGAAGAAGATATTCTAAGTTCATTGGCCAACGATCAGATTCAACATAGACTGTTTGAATACACACCACCAACATATGATCATCAAGGGCCGCCTGTTCCCGATCGAGCAGATCTCGAGCAGCTAGGGTAAGAAAAAGAGCGAGTATTTACTTTTTCTTTGACCTGTTTGTCTCTAGCTATTTGGATAACGTTCGTCAAGAAAGACCAGTTGAAAGAGCCGGTGGTTACACGCGAGAATATCCATGCTTACGTGCGATTCAAGAAGCATTCGATATGTTATTATTTGTTAGAGATAATTTGTTGAATAATGTGAAAAAAGAGACGATTTCTGAAAACGAACCTATGGAAACTTAAGTTAATAAAAAAATAATCTTCTTTTCATATTCTAGATTGATCTAAAATTTGTCATAAATATGCAATTAACATTACCTCTATCATTGAAAGGTATAACCGAACTCAATCGAGATGAGTTCACTCAAACAATTCAAGTTCCATACGTGAATATTCCTGGCGAACATATTCGTTCGTCGAAATGGAAAGATTATTTACTTACACTACATTCATTCAAGAATGTTCGTGATCTAGAAGGACGATTCAAACAAGTTCTATTCGATCCTGACATAATCAAGACAAAAAAGGACATTATTGAACGCATTCCATCGATCGAAGAGTTTGTTGAACAATCATTTGATTTCACACAAATTTCAATCACATATGACAATTATACCATTGAACAAGTGATCAAAGCGATTATACCAGACGATTTAATAACCGATAAACGAGTTAATACTGGATCGGGTTATAGTATTATTGGACATATTGCTCATTTTAATCTTCGAGATGAAGTTTTACCGTATAAGCATATCATTGGTGAGTAGAAGAAATGATCTATTTTGAAAATATCTCTTTCGATAAGAATTGTAGCGCAAGTGATACTTGATAAATTAGTAAACGTTAAAACCGTTGTGAATAAATTACATGAGATCGATTCTGTTTATCGTAATTTCGATTTGGAAATCATCGCCGGTGAAGCAAATACCATTGTGCAATGTCGAGAAAGTAAAGCAACATTTCAATTTGATTTTGCTAAAGTCTACTGGAACCCTCGTTTGAGTAATTATGTTCACATATCGTTCCTTCATATTCACACAGCTTAATTAAGGTACTGAACGCGAACGTATTTTTGAAATTCTTCGTCCAAATGATCTCGTTATCGACGTGTTCGCTGGAGTTGGACCGTTTGTTGTTCCTGCATCGATGCTTGGTTGTACTGTTTGTGCGAATGATATTANTTTGCCAGTTATAATAACAAGAAACTCGTTTCCGAGATATGTTCTAGTCCTTTATATAATACTATTACATACGTAATGATGAAGCAATACATTTTTCACTTGCTGATAATTCTGGAATAGCTGAATAATGAATCGATCCACGTGGAATATTGCCAATGGTAGTTGCGCGTCGATGAGCTATCAGTAAACTTCTACTGGCATCAAAATTCTCCCGATCCATTATTTCTAAATTGGAATCCGATTGTCTTTGACTGGGCATGATCTAAATCGTACGTAGAGTAGATTGTTGTCTCTTCTCGAGCAACATCGAATTTACATCGATAGTAATATTATTCTTATGGAAATAATCAGCTTGATTATCAATGACAATTACACAGATTTACATAGACAAAAGTGCTTCGAAAGGACTCGTCGTTTCCTCTTGATTGTATGTCTGTAGAATTTCGTTTATACAATAGAACAAAAAGCATCGGATGAGACTAAGAAATAAAATGAGAAATATAGCAGGACAGATGAGATCCAGCGAGGGAGAAAAAAACGACCTAAGTGATTGCTAACAGAACAAGAGAACAGCAGCTAATGGAATACACTTTTCCTGTTCTTTTAGTTCTATATCGATAATAACTGTGGAGCATGAAATAATCCATGTGGTGTTTAAGAAGATTTGAACATCGTCCCTTACCAGAAATAGTAGAGATAATGCACTCTCATTACGGTTGAAACGATATATGTAATAACTTTAATATTCAATTTGAGATTATTTACTCACGTGATTATGGTATAATGTCTAAGTCTTCTTAAGTTTGATGTGCTGCAGTCTTTTCATAATATTAAAGATAATCTATTGTGAGTACGGAAAGAGAAATTCGAAAAAAATCAGTAATGTTGATGAACATGAGTATAAATGGAGTGTTTAGTCTATTTATTCCGTTTTACAAATAACAAGACATACAAGTCTGACAAAAACATCCTTAGAAAATTTATTTACTAGGCAAAAATCGAGTGTACTGCATAGCGATGAATTGTAGAAAGTTCTATAATCAATATTGACAGCCAAGACATAAAAAACGGATGTAGTTTTCATCCAACAAAACAACTCTCCTTATTCTGATTGAATATCAGGGTGAGGATGAGAGTGGAAAACTTAATAAATGAAACCAGTGTTCCCCTTCAGTTGGAACGCACACTGGAACGAATTACGTTGAAAGTTGAATGAATTTGATTTTTCATATGAATAGTAATTTTACTCTTGACCCGGCAGTTGACATCCATCTCGATCTTGGTGGTTTCAACTCTTCTGATGTGAGAACCACATAACGAATAATTCTCGTTTTTGTACAACTCAACTTCAGCGAGGTGGCAATGGTATAGATCAACAATATGAAAAACTCATGAATTAATCGCTTATGTACAACACTCGAAACATCAGAATTTGTCACGCAATAGCCGCGTTTGTGATATATCGAAAATGACCTACCGATGGTACTCTTCCGCTTAATCATTGCATGTCAAAATTCTTTCTGTAAACAACATCATCGTTCTACGACATAAGAAAGATTGGTTATATTTATTCCTAAGGCATAATGTAGCACATTCTTTCCAAAATAAATATTGGCTATCAGTTAGATTTTGCACACGCAAGGAAAAGTCGTGATAACTATGTTATGTATACGTATCTGCATAGCGATCAACCGCTATTCATCAACTTTCTGTGATGGTGCCAAGACACGCACGGTGAATACGAAAATGAAGCATTTCCGAAAGAGAAATTTGCGAATGGAATTCCTATCTTGAAACAATCAGTGAACAATGATTGACCACAGAAAATCAGAGATACCAATACCAGCCGCCGTTACGGGTGAACTACGTTTCGTACCACCCATTCCGAACATTTGGTAACGTGCCCGAGTGGTCGGAATTGAAATTATTTTTCGCAAATTTCGTGCAGGAGTCCAGAAATCTCTTGCTTAGAAATGGTTTCAAAACTAGCAGAAATGTTGTCCAAAGTGGACAATCAAGAATTAAATTCACCAAAAAGCAAGACTGAATGAACTTAAGCGCCGTCACTTAATCTAAGTGCCCATTGTCCATTCCCATTGACTCAAAAACACGCTGGGCTCGTGATTTAATTAGAGTTTCACTTTTTTGCAGACTCGATGTCGAAATCTTCACAATTACTTTTTGTCACAGATTGCGTAACGAATATCTGCGCTGGAAGTTCGGAAAAATAAAGTGGTACGAAATGTCATTTTCCCTTACACTCTACAATGAATTGAACACGAAATACAATCAACTTCAGATCTACTATGAATCTATTCAAACGTTGATTCAAAATCTATTATATCACCAGAAGAAGAAATCGGATGATAATGATCTCTTAACTAAGGTTAGACACCATCGTTTTCTTTTTCACTTAGAGATTTTTGTTTAGCTTTCGAAGTTCGAAGAAAATACACACGAAGACTCAATCATTGCTCGTTTAATAAATGAAAGCAACGAAATCCGTCAATGTTTAGAAAGCGCCGATGAAAGTATTGTAAACAAAAGACTTCCCATCAGTGAACTTCAAAGTGATATTAATACTAAAGCACAACAGATCATTGTTTGTTAAGAGAATTTTCAATCATCAAATAGTACACGGGTAGAGAAGCAATTGGTGAAAAATAGTCTTGTGTCGTACTTTCAAACACCGATTGATAAGCAACAAGAAGTAATTCCGACCCTAAGTGTACTCGTAGAATTTACTCAGGATGAATACGACAAAGCAATGAATGCGATATCGAATAATTATGCTAATAGCACTGCTCTCGCTCGGTTAAGTAGTTGGATTGGTGGTGGATATCCTGTTCGAGCAAAACTTTCATCGAGTATTCAGCCTGATAAGGTATGCCAATGCAATAGAAAGTCTTCATTTTACAAAAGTTTTTCTTTTAGTCATTTACTGAATTACTGATTCAATATGTCGATCAAAAATTGCCAACCAGATTCAATCCCGATGTATCCAATGCAAAGAGCTCTACGAATGAGCAGTCGAATATAGAACAGAATACGAGTCCTTCTACCCAATCATTATCGATAAATACTGACAAACTTGTAACAATTTGATTTGATAGTTTTTAACTCACTCTCCCCTTGTTTATAAATCTACACATTTGTCATTTGTGTGGGAATATATTTTTTCTTCATGCGGCCATAATTGTTTCTCTTTTTACTCACCAGCTGAATGCTTCCTACCTTCTTTTCGAAAATCGACACGGTTTCAACGTTCGTAATTGCAATGTCTATACCCAATATCTCGCACGTATTCCAGAGCTAGAAGCCAGATTTATGACCTTTTAGAGTGATGTTTAACCAATGATATCAAGTACGACTTCTTAACTCTTTTGTGAGAACCAATACTAGAGCTAAGAGATGTATACTGTTTTCATAAGATCTTAGGTTACAATCGCCATATTTCGCCTCATCCATCGATACTTCTCTCCTATGAGACTAGCTCACAGCTTCGTATTTCCACCTTCCTTTCGTGCAATTCGCCACATGCACATTTCGCATGAATCCAGCAATTTCTCATTGTTTCACACTCGCCGACTCAACCAAACGATAAACTCGTTCACCCATCATCAAAACATGTTTCTTAGCCACTATTCATCTCACTAAGTTACACCCTCAAACCCCAAAAGTCTTTGAACATTCACTTCTTTCATCCCATACTTCGTTTATTTCCTCACACGTTTCAAAATAAAAAATCTACTCTTTTCTCCGAAGAAAATCTAAAACCATAATTTCAAGTTCCCGTTGCGCTCACCCGCGCTTCTCAAGTATTGGGCACCCGCGTCGCCGATTTGATTGCCAGAGAGGTTGAGTGTGATCGGTGTCTGCATGAAGATAGAAGTGGTGAGATGTGAAAGAGGGAGGGAGGGATGCTCAGATCGTTGGACTCACGGTGTTGTGTCGAAGTGCATCACTCACGTATTGGGCACCCTTCTCGCTGATTTTATTGTAAGAGAGGTCGAGTGTGGTGAGTGTCTGCATGAAGATAATAGTGATGAGATGTGAAAGAGGGAGGGAGGGAGGGATGCAGAGATCGTTGCACTCACGGTGTTGTGTCGAAGTGCATCACTCACGTATTGGGCACCCTTCTCGCCGATCTGACTGTGACAGAGGTAGAGTGTGGTGAGTGTCTGCATGAAGATAGAAGTGATGAGATATGAAAGAGGGAGCTAGGGATGCAGAGATTGTTGGACTCACGGTGTTGTGTCGAAGTGCATCACTCACGTATTGGGCACCCGCGTCGCCGATTTGATTCTCAGGGAGGTAGAGTGTGGTGAGTGTCTGCATGAAGATAGAAGTGGTGAGATGTGAAAGAGCGAGAGATGCGGAGGTCTTTGGACTCATGGTGTTGTGTAGGAATATGCAATTTAGTATTTCTCTGGGTATTTGCTGAATTTAGTGCTGTATCAGGTTTTAGTGTTCACCTGATTTGCATTAAAACATTCTGCGAAGCATTTTAACTGGGTAGAAGGAATCGTAGGGATCTTGAATATCTCGTTATATGATTATGGAGTACTGAAACTACATTCAGTTTTCAATCCAAAGTGTATAAACTGCTGCTCATGAATTGGTTGTTGATGATGATTTGATGAAGTCCTGCAAGCTGGTGCTGACGGATGGAAAGGCTAGGTGACGACCAAGGGTTAGCGTCGTTTGTGTTTTGACGGCATCAATTGGGAAGAGTTATTCGAATGGTGCAATACCTTTCTGTTGTGCGAAATGGCCTTTTGCGTCTACCGAGGTCAGCAAATCCGATGCTGGATCCGACGATGCGATAAAATTCGATCGAATTCCTTGTAACGGATGTAACGATAATGATATCGTTCATCGCTTTCTGTTCTTTATTCTCTGACGTCTGTATCATACTATCTCCGGGTCATATCTCTCTCTGTCTCTCTTCTCTATATAAGCATGTGACTTATTGTGAAGTAGTAACATTCTGGTCATGTAGAGTAGTCAATAAACATCGATACTGTGAGAAGCGGTCAGCTACTCAACCAGTTTGTCGTTACAACGGAATTGGATTGGAATCCGATTGTAAAAATTCCGTCGGTTATTGAAAATTTTATGAGCAATCTTTCTAGCTATATTCTATGATGACCCTTAGAAAATCGGGAAAATTCATGTTTCGCATCCGATGAGATCCGAGACCATCGGAATCCAATGCGATTCCGTCACCTGGATTTCATTGGATCCGTCGAATTCCTGTAGGATCTGATAAAATCCTATATTCGATCTGAGTGCGGGATTGATTGACCTGGGTAGGGAATCTTCAGCGCGCTAGATCAAAAGTTTGGATAATAGGCAGAAAAGAAACAGAAAGGCTCGGAAAAATCGAATGAAATGCATATGAATACTAATTTTAGGTTCATGATGCGTATGGCTCAGTCTGTTCTCTCGAAGAGATTCCTGAGATTGTTAACATCTGTGTACTTTAGGGTCATCTATCTATCACTCTAGAACCTATTTCTAAAACGAACTCAACGAATAGAACGATGTCTATCATATTTGTGATGGAGATATCCTGTCCTATACCCAGGTTATTATGGCACGGTCGGTTCCGGCCGGTTAGGTTCGTTTTCCGACCATTTCCTTGCCGCCGGATTCCGGCCGGAAGTTCAAACGTAGGTTCCACTCATTTCCCGGCCGTTTCCTGCAAACTTCGAGCCGGAAAAGGTCAGGAACTGATCGGATATTTACTGTCCAATTCCGGCCGGAATCCGTCGGCAAGGAATCTGCCGGAACTTGCTGGAATCGGCGAAAACTGTGCCGGAATCGAGAAAAGCTGTACCGGAACCGACTCAGATTTCAACGGATCCTGTCGCCGGAATGATCGACCTGGGTAAGTACATCTCATGATTGATGAACTCACCTCTATTCGGTACGCTCTGCGCGTGTTCTGTAAAGAGTCAACATTACTCACTTTGTTTTCTTGTATTGCATAGTAAGCGACGATTTCCATATCTTTATCAGTTAGACGTTTCCAGTCGACGTATAATTGAAGTCCATCTTTTGCGTGTGCAATTTGTTGTTCCAGATATGCATTGCGATACACAGGCTTGCTCTTTTCTGAAAGAAAGAGTTACAGACTGTTAAATCGTGGGCGCAAAAAGTTTAAAGTCTGTGTGTCTGTCCTACCCAATCAGAATTCAACATTTTCTGAGATCTATGAAATCTATTGATAGTCATTAGAGTTTCACTACTAGTAGGGTAATCGAGATCGAGGAACTCGAATCTGATGTCAGTTTTAACTAATTCTTAATTAACGGATAATAATATATATAGCAACGATTGATCGAAGGGTAATCGTTGTCAAAGGATTCAAATCTATGGTTGGTTTTTTCTCATTCACCAAAATTAGACTTCCTTGTTTCTCTTTTGAAAGAGATATTTTTCTCTCTTGTAGAAAATCTTTTGCAGAAGATATTACTTTAAGAGCTGACGCAAAAGATTTAGGATATCTTTCATTATGATAGTTGTAATTCAAGAAATCAAAAGAAGTGCTATGAGCTTAATATAATGATTCCGTTGTTTGCGGGGAGACTTCAGGCCTGTTCGATAGAATTTCAGCGAATATACAGCGCAAAAATGTATCTCCATCAGTGCAATTCCATCCTGCTAGCTAGAAAAACGTCGATTATACAAATAGTATTCTAAGCATAAGAAGCGCTCTGATGGATGTTCTTTTGATAGGTATTCATAGAATACAACTTTCTGTCTGGTTTATTTCGGTAATCATATGAATGGAAGATCACCATTTTGGAAGTAACAAAGGAAAAAAACGTAGCTATTTGCTCTAAGAGCTTCGAGAATAACCCCTGTGGATTGTGAGCGCCTTAAATTGAAGCGAACAATAAAATATTTACTCTGAGTCACATAGTTACGAAGAATTTTGATAACTGCGATTGCAGACAGACTCAGTATGAAAATATCATAGAAAGTTATCATGGATCAACGGCTAGCCACGCGAGGCCGACAGATGACTAGGCGTTAGAATCCCAGATTACCTTAAAGTACACGTTTGGGGCAATCCTATTAAACTGGAAAGGTTTTTAAAAGGGGTCTTGATGAATATTCCTCAACGAAAATATTCGACACAGTATCGTTTTCTTGAAAGTACAGAAAAGAATCAATTGTTGGATGTAAAACACAGCTGGCACTCGAAAACTACTCGCTGATAAATAGCTAATTGGTTCGATTCATGAAAAAAGAACAATCTTTGCCTTCTGTTATCTCTAACGTTTGACTCAATGTCATGGTTCGGCTGAGGACTAGTAGCAATCGTCCTGCCTAATTTGTTTTTCAAAGTGCCTGAATGTGTTCAGCACTAGAAGAATTCTTTCAGAAAAGGGTCGGCGAATTCGAAGAATGAACATTACACGTGAGTGGCAGCTTATGCAGTGATTATGCTCTTGATCACACAGCTGTAGTTTTATTGCTAGTGCTTGTTAACTCTACTTTTGGAACTGAATCTGCAATAAGAAATTGAAATGGAAATTTGCATCATTAATATTTTCAAACAACATCTAACTTCAAATACAAAATCGTCGTGTTACTGATTATTTACTCCTTGTTCTGTTCTCAAATCACATACTAATTCCTCAAAGAGTGGAAGGTCATTGTACACTAGTCACAATGCATCATTTGAAACAATTGAAAACATATAAGTCGCACATCGAGAAGGAAGATGTCAAAAACAGGAAAAACTTATACTATCTGTTCAAAAAACTAATATGAAAGAAGTTCTAATTCTCATTTTCTTCATCTGTCAATTATTATATCAGTTCTTCTGCGCTACTTTCATCGAAGTCAGCGAATATAGACTGCCTTTTTAGAATTATTTTATGAAATGAAAGAAATAAAATTATTTTTGACATTTATTTATAGATATTGATTTGGCGTGGAAAAAATTAGGCATAATTGAAAAAAAGCACATGTTTAAATTCAAAGTAGATTATCATTGAATTAAACATATAGAGATTCAGTGGAAAAATCAGATACTTATACTCAAGAGAAGAAATATCTTTAGGTGGATAAAATTTTTCCTAAGCTAAATAATTAACATCTAATTGAAATATTGAATTATTCAGTTGATAAAGGAAATTGATTCATTTAAAAAATTTTATGAGTAAAGAAGAATATTGCAAAGTAAATCTGACTATGACACACGTTCCTCCTTAGTCAGTTGAAAGAAAATTGAAGAAATATTAGATGATATCGACACATTCTGGCTATGCGAATCAGAAACTGTGTTTCGGAATGCATCATCCTTATTCTTGAAGCAATAAAATAAAGCAGAAAAAGAATTCACAGAATATTTAAAAAATGAAGTGGTAACAATCTTTGACTCTTGGTACGAAGGACGCAGTGATACCTTTACATCAAGCACTAACAATCAATTTAAAACCATAAACACAGGTATAGAAGAAGAACAAATTATCAGAGAACGACGTGATTAGATCGACAAACACGATAGAATCTCTGCTGATGGACTTGCGTTATATTCTGTTGACAAAAGGTCAGTTACTTACTGAAAATTGTATGAGCGATGTTTCTAGTTGTATTCTATGACGACCTTATAGGCACCTATCGGATTCGTTTTGTAGGACGCTATAAAATTCGATGAAATCCAAAATAGGATCCGGTTAGAACCTACAATCCGATTGGTCGATCTTTTAGCAATTACTCTCGCAGAAATCGCAAGTTTTTCAATCCTATTATCAATGAAAGCTGTATAACTTTCTGCATTGGTAGAATCAATTTCATTCTATTATCTATGCATGAGAATCGTGTTCATATGAACTATTCACAAGACTATAGGGATCATCATCATAACAACACAATTTTTGAGCAGATTATTTTCCAAACTATTTGTCATTGATAGATTTAAATCTCTGACTTCAGATTGTATACTAATTAAATAAGCTAGTTTAAGATTCGACCATTGTATAACACTGACACCTTCAAAATAAAGAACGTTCCAACTTACTGAGTGGTCGCTTTGGCAGAGTTTCAATTGGTTCACTAATATCACTCATCGAACTAACACCAATTGTTGTCACTGATTGCACTTTAAATATGAACTTTTTTTTCGACGGTAATTTTGATATAGAAATTTCTTTTTTATCATCATTTGTAAAAACTTCAACCCACTGTTCCTCTTCATCATTTTCATTCGATATTCGATACATTATTTTGTATTTCTTAATTTTCTCTGTCCCATTTTGTTCATCATTCCATTTCAGTGTAATACCATCATCAGTAACAAATTTAGCAGATAGTTCACTTGGTTTACTTGGTATTTTAAAGCCCTTTTTCTCTAATCCATTTTCATAGAGAGTAACTTTAGTTGGCTTGTTCAAATCAGATGAATGTTCTTCGTTGACGATGAATTTCAACTTCTTTCCATTATTATTATTTGCTTTAGCGAATTCAATAAATTGTCGTACATCTGCACGAGTTTGATTTACAATGTCACGATGTTTAAACCATTTAGGGGTTTCTTCTCGATTTGTTTGAAATTTAAAAGTTTCTTTATTATAGCGATAATTGTACATATCTTTAAGTTGAAATTTGTTTTCATCATTAAGACAAAATGACAAGCATAATATATACTTATAATCAATATCCCCAATAATATCATCCAGTGATGTTGATTTCACTGTAATATCTAAACTTTTATCTTTGGTCAAATTTTCGATAAAGTTGCCAATGAAATAAATCTCCTTTTCTTTTTCGTCGAGCCATGATTTTAATTTACTTTCGTTGAATGGCGATGAATCTATCTCTTTGAATACATTAAATAAGGCTGATTCTTGAGTATCAGTGTCAGCACGTAATTTAGGTAAAAGCATAGCAATCTGTTGTTTTAACTCACGCTGCATTTCAGATAATCGAGCTGCAAATGTGTTTAGATCATCTTTCATATGATTAAAATAATTGAACATCGACCCTTTTGTTAGATCTAATGCTTTAACTTCTAATGAATAAAGATTTTCAATGATTCCAATTGAGGAATCAATTAGACGAGAAGAAATATGTCGTACAATTCGCGGTGCTTTGCCGTCTAATAAATGTAACGGATAAAGCCAAACCTTTTTTGGTATAGCTTTTTCATGATTTTCACCTAACAGTGACGGCAGGTGACGATAAAGTTCAATAGCATCTTCAAATGTATTTGGATTTTCTTTTAAATTAAAATCACCATAAAATTTACAACACAAATTGTCGACACAATACTTTTCGTTGTCATTTAAATCTAATTCAGCTTTACCTTGAATTTTGAACTTCGGTATTTTTTTTATCACTGCTTCTAGTGTACCTTGAATCTCTTGTTTACTTTCGTTTTCCGATAATTTATGATCAAATACAAAAAACGCTTCAGCACCATATAATACACCAGTCACAACATGTGTTGCGATGTTCGCATCATGCAAATCTGGATAATTTAAATTACCTTTACCAAGATGTTTCATTGTCAATTCTTCAAAATGTGTTGTCGTTGAATATTTTAACGTAAGACGTGTAACATGATTAGTTTGTTGATGATCGTCAGCATATTTGGCCGAACCTGCAACATTAATCATACCAACAAGAAGACTTAGTTTTAAATCAGCTTCAACTCCTAGCGCATATGCTTTCTTTTGAAATGAATCTCCAGTTATAATTTCATAATTAGTATATGGTTGCCGATGTGTTTTTCTGTTGGTATCCAATATGTTCTGATCCCATAATGTAGCACCAGCAATTATCACATCACTACGCATATCATAAAGCGTACCCAAATGAAATGGACGACCGAGTGTAACAATTTCAGTTGGTTTTTGATCAGTCGGTTTTGGTTCAGTCATAGTTCAATCTAGAAAGCACAGTGGATACTTCAAACGTATTTGTTAAGAAGATGAACCTCTTCCGATAAGAATGTAATGTATTTGTTTAGTAGTCAACGTTCATGTCTTGAAGACCAGAGTAAGGATACAAGTGAGGATGCAGATAATGGTGCTAGCGATTGAGGGTGGGTGAGGGTGTGAGTGAAGGTGAAAATTTTTATGATCGGAATCGATGGAGCTCGTCGAACTGTGCCTCGAGTCAATTTTGAAACCGCCCTAAATAGTACAAAAGCAAATGGGTCGGACTGTTCGCTGATATTCATTTTTTTCAGTGCTTCGCTGCAATTGGTTGAGTTTTCATAGTGAAAGTGAAACGGTTTTTGTGAAGTTTTATCATTGGAACCGATAGAGTACATCTAGTTATATTTGAATCCAGTCAGATTGGAATTCAAAGCGCATATCTGAACGAATAAATCCTGAAGAAACTCGATTCGGGCGCCAAGATAACTTACGTGTGTTTCTTGAATTTTCTTTCACCATGTTTTTCAAAGCAAATGATTTTTTTTAAACTTAGTTTAAAAAAAGACTATATACTAAGAATATCTATTCTTTACTCGCTGTTAACATTTGCACGAATCTAATATGGCACGTAATATAATAATTTTAAAACTAAAGATATTCGTCAAATTTTTACGTCTGTATGTTTTTGTGTCCTCAAAAAGTGCGTAAACTACTACAATCCGTTAGTGTGCCCATCGGGCCGTTCGTTTACACGATAAATTTAGAGAGAAGATACAGATTGAGTCGTAGATTTCTACATAACATCATCTCATTGATATCTAAGTCGACTTCGAAGCTAAGTTGGATCGGTTGTACTGATGCTGTCTTTCGTTGGAATTTGCTCAAATTCTTATATATAAAAATGCATGATTGTGCGCTAGTTCACTATGTATTAATGTCCTGTACTAATTATTACCGCCTACCTTTTCATGTTGATTGCCTAGGCTCAGAAAAATATGGAGAGGATGCCGATTGACCGCCGAGATGGCAACCATGGGTGATCTGGGTGAAATTTCACCCAAGAGGTTTTGTGAAAGAAAACGCACCTAACGATCTGTGAAGTATTGTTAGGTTTGGGAAAACATGTTAGTCGATCAGTATAGAAGTAGATATAGACCATTCCCGGAAAATTTCTCCCAGTTGGCCCTGTCCCAAAAGAATGTCAGAAAGCATTCAACTACATGTATGATAGCTATGACCTTGGAAAACGTTAATATGTAGTGGGAACTACATCATAACGATCCCTTGGGGGATCTGAGTGTATTTCATCCAGACTACGTGCCTGTTACTTGCAGTTGTCTGTTGTAGTTAGTGTGATGAAATTTCGCAAGATAGTTGTAGATTTAATGAAAGGTCAAAGCAAAGGTAGATCACGACGGCGTGTGTTAGCAGATAGACTTGGATGAATTTTATCGAAATCATCCTTCTGATCTTTGATGACTAGAAGACCGTTCTTGACGTGCTCGATGCTGCGAATAGTAGAAGGTCACGCAAAAACAGTTTTTACTGCAATTAAATCTGGGCTTTAGTTGAATATAGTAAAAACACTGAGAACACCCTACTGAGAACAGGTTTGCGCCATCTTACTGCTGGAGTGGGCTGAAAAGATGAGTGCAATACTAGAATTGGTCAGCGTTCTTCATTCGTTTATATGATAACTCTCAAAAGGCTAATGCGATTGAGATGGAAGTTTTCATGGTGTATGACAACAGCAAAATCTCGTTAATTTTCGAATAGGAAACTGATCGGACGAGCGACACATGGATTACTAATCTTTTGGGGACTGCGGCCATGTTAGCGATCATATGACCGTCGATATTCTTCTCTCGTTCTTGTTCCGTATGCTTGAAACAATGTTATTATAGATACCATTCTTTTTGCTTCTCCTTTTTGTTCTGAGCGAGAGAGTATGGATATATATATTCTCTCTTCGATTCGAATACTGGAAGATTCTCATCGAGTATCTCTATGTCTGTTTGAAGAGGGATATGTTGATCATATAGGAGTCTATGGCCTTTTATATTTCAAATTGAATTTTAGAAAAGAAATTAGCTTCCCCTTATCCAAAAAGGAGAGGGATTACAGGTATAGTAAAATGATGCCTTCCATTAGATGAGGATAACTTGTTAACGCTTATTTAAATCAACAGACCTAGCAAATATGAAATACTTAACACTTGAAATCCTATGAATTCTCAAGGTTGATCGTACAAATAGCATTTCATATCACTAATCACTGCCTTCCAGCCTATTTAGTCTGGACAATCCATATGCATTTCCTATATATCTTTACTACAGCTATATGGTTGTGCGCAAAGTATCAAAAACATTAAGCAAGCATGTAAAAATAGATGCGAACAAAAAGATATGAGATATAATATCACGCATCTCTTACGGTCAGAGTACAAATAGGGGGTATTGGAGGTATTGCAAAACTTTTTCAATCTAACTAGACTCCTACCGACATCCACCCCGCACCCTCATCGAGAAAGATCCCTATTGGTACTCACGCCTTACGCTTTAAAATGATAAATACTAGAATTTTAAAAGCCTTACTAACAATTTAATACCTCAAAGCTTCAATACCCCCTGTATCTCCTATATATACCATTGTATGTCATATAGAGAGCTCACATATCCGATACACTTTTTGTATAGTACACATAATCTTCGGATAAAATTCGAAGTTTCCGCATTCACATTATATATGTTTCTCACTTTCTCAAGTTCTTCGGAACTATATAAAGTCTAGCGATTGACAAGATGGTTTTACTTACTTAGAGAAGAAAAAGAGTAATAAACAACGGATGTGTCGAAGAATGTTGCGCTTTTGCGTTCTACAGCACTCTTTAATTGAGAAGATCTTACCAATTATCGCAGCTTATATATACAGCGTCAACCTGTTTACTTGGGTATTTTTTCTTCTGTCTTTTTCTGGTCTTATCAAACATCAACCAATTGCTCCATTATTACGTAGGTCACATTTGTTGCTTTTCGTCTAGTGGGCTTTTTTTCACTACAAGTTAATATTTTTCTTTTTCAAATAAATTCCAACAGATATCGTATATTTTTATCTTTTACATGCTTTCCGCCTCCTTCTAATATTCTTTTCGTATTTTCTTTCGATAAACGTGTGACGAAATAATATGTATCTTTAAAAAGATACGAAAATGATTAATTTCATGAATTATGTGTGCTCAAAAAGCGAGCACACAACTATAATAAGTCAGTATGACAATCCATCCGGTCGTTTACACGATAAATTTCGATAGAAGGATCAGATTGAACTGAAATTTTCCATACTGCACCATCTTATCAATACCTCAGTCGAGTTCAGAGGTAAGCCCGATCGGTCGTAGTATTGTTGACTTTTGGTAAAATTTCCTCCGATCTATATATGTGAAGTTGCTTGTTTCTCTGTTTGTTCACTCTGTATTCAAATCCTATACCAATCATGGGTGATGTGAGTGTTACTTGGGTGAAATTTCACCCAAGAAGTTTCGTAAAAGAAAACGCACCTAGCGATCTGTGAAGTAGTGTTAGGTCTGACAAAGCGTCGAAAACGTGTGGATCGACCGGTATATAAGTATGTGCGGACGCTGGATCTATCATATAGAATGCCGCAAAGCATTCAACTACTTGTATGATAGCTATGGCCCTGGAAAACGTTAATATGTGGTGGAAACTACATGACAACGATCCTTTGGGGGATTCGGGTGTATCTCACCCAGATTACCTATCTGCTAGCCGTAACCGACAGTTGTAGAAAGCTGTCATGAAACTTTGCAAGATAGGTTGAGATTTAATGAATGGTCAAAATGAGGGGAGACCACGAGCTAGTGTGTTAGCAGATAGACTTGAATCAATTTAAGTCAAATCGTTCTTCTGATCTTTGGTGCCACAGCAATCATTTTAGATGTGCTCGATGCTGCGAAGAGTAGAAAGTCCTGCAAAAACAGTTTTTACTGCAATTAAATCTGAGCTTTAGTTGAATATAGTAAAAACACTGAGAACACCCTACTGAGAACAGGTTTGCGGCATCTTACTGCTGGAGTGGACTGAAAAGATGAGTGCAATACTAGAATTGGTCAGCGTTCTTCATTCGTTTATATGATAACTCTCAAAAGGCTAATGCGATTAAGGTGGAATTTTTCATGGTGTATGACAACAGCAAAATCTCGTTATAGTGTTCGAATATGAGGCCGACTGGAATACCAAGCCATGCATTATTGAAAAAGAAATTGATATTTCTGTATAATTCGTTATATCTTCTATCTGATACACTTTTTCGTAGTATACACATAATTCTGGGAGAAAATTCGAAGTTTCAGCATTTTTCTATTTTCACATTACGCACCGAAATTTCTATGGACAGTACAAAGTTGCTCACAAAAGAACGATGTTATAATCGACAATCTGCAAAGCATCCATAATAGTCCGAGTGTTTTAGTCGACGATTCATTCTTTTCGGGTTGTATTTAAATGATCAGGATTTTGCATTGAATGATCGTTTGGGTTTGTCGATCACTAGAAGTTGAGTTTTGATCAGTATATTATTGTGTCGAAAAACTGTTATATATACTACTTATCTTAAAAATTTAAACAGACTTTTACCAATCATTAGCGCTCTATAAACATCACTGCTAATTCACTGAAATAACCCCTCGAGTTTAGGAGTTACTTATCAACAAATCGATAGAGGGCGGCCCTATGAACGGTTTCAGAGATAGTATGGCAGACCTAAAGCTATCAGACAATCTAAACCACACCCTCTCACTCTACCTAGATAGTTATTCGCCCTATATATAGCCCGTGTTTTCATATATCAAACAGACACGATCTTGCACTTTGCTGTTTATCAATAAATTTGTTTAGCCCTCAAAAAACCATATCCTACTTAACACTATGACGCTGAAACTCTTTCTTTCATAAAAGGAAATCAATATATAGATTGCGACGTTTTTTGATGGAAGAGATGTATGTGCCGATGGACCTACACCTACGTATATTTATTTCTCCCTCTTTGGTCATATCGTTCTGATACGAAGCACTTGTCTACATATCCATTTATTGGTGGCGGTGTCAAGGATGGGCTGAGCCCACCCAGAATATTTCTGGAGGACCTCGGACTCCTCAAACCAAAAATTCTGGCACCACCTCTATCAACCATCAAAGAAAACGGAAGAATGTATCATATTACAATGCATCATGATTACCGGAAAAAGACGTTAGGATAGCTTTGAACATGATTCGACTTTTTCTTGAGCGAATCCGTTTCGGTGTGCGTTCCAACTCAACTGATACTGTTTACAAGTACAACCTGATGAGCTCTATCGGCCCAACCATAAAACTTTTCATCATCACCCTCAAGATTGCTTTTGGAAAATGTTCTTTAAAGTATTCTGATTTCTAGCGACCTCTCATAAGGCAGCAAAATCATTGTTCGAGCCAAAACGAATCGGATCTATGTGATATGACGACGATAATAAAGATATATAATTTCCGATAAAAATAACAACCGGTATCGTTTCGAAGCTACGCTAGGAAAATTCTAATACGATTCCATCCGTAAAACTTAACAAAAATGGCGTTCATCAAAAGCACTCTATCCAAAGTAAGCTATATTGAGTGGTAGAGGTGATATATCGGTAATATCTCGCGTTTCTAGTTGACTCCGATCTCAAAAAATTCGATTTTAACAATACAAAAACGGTATTATTTGTTACTGCATGAATATGTATCAATGGGACTACTTGAAGAAGCAGGTATTCGTGTACCAAAATTTCGAGTGGCAGAAACACCCGATCAAGCATACCAAATAGCCTCGAGTGGCGGTTTGTTTTTCTGCTTGGTTTTGTTCAAATTGTTTGTGATTGATTTCATCGATTTAGATGTAGGCAATGATCTTGTTATTAAAGCCCAAATCCTTGCTGGCGGTCGTGGTAAAGGAACCTTCGATACAGGATTAAAGGGCGGTGTTAAAATGACGTATTCGTAAGAATTTGAATGGCTACTATCTGTGCAGCTTTGATAACTAAATGTAACTTCTTTGAATAGGCCTGATGAGGCAAAACAAGTTGCGTCGAAAATGCTTGGTCATCGTTTATATACGAAACAAACCGGTCGAGAAGGCAAACTTGTGTCGAAATTAATCATGTGTGAAAAATTATTTACACGACGGGAATACTACTTCGCCTGTAAGTGAATCAGAGTTCATTTTCCGAGCTTACATTATATATTTTCATACGATCTAGTGGCGCTAGAGCGGCGTTTCGGTGGTCCGGTGATAATCACATCAACGCAAGGTGGTACGAATATCGAAGAAATAGCTGCCGAACATCCTGATGCCATTATTCGACATCCCATCGATATTCAGAAAGGTCTCGAATTTAATGATGCTTTAGCGATTGCTCAGAGGTTGGAATTTCTCAACGAAGCTCTCGAAGATGTATGTAATTCATTCATCTGAAATCGTTTACTCTTCTTTCTGCTCCATTTATAGGCGGCCGATACCATCATGAAATTGTACAAGTTATTTATAACAAAAGATATTGTTTTGTTAGAAATTAATCCGTTAACAGAGGGAGCTGATGGAAAAATCTATTGTATACAACTATCTTCTTTTACTCATCGAAAAATCTATTTGTACACTAGGTATGGATTGCAAGATCAATGTGGATGATAATGCAGAGTTTCGACAAGCGACTGTATTTCAACAGAAAGATAACACTCAGAGCGATTGGCGTGATGTTAAAGCACAAGAATCAAATTTGAATTATATTGGTCTTGATGGTGAAATTGGCTGTCTTGTCAATGGTGCTGGTTTAGCGATGGCTACAATGGATATTATCAAATTACATGGTGGAAATCCTGCAAATTTTCTTGATGTTGGCGGTGGTGCATCAGCCGGTCAAGTCAAAGACGCTTTCGAATTGATCACGGCTGATCCAAGAGTAAGACGAATTTAGTTGAACATATCTTAAATCGATTTGTATGACTGGTTAGGTTCAAGCAATATTTGTTAATATCTTTGGTGGTATTATGAGATGTGATATCATCGCTAAAGGCATTGTCGCTGCAGCTAAAGAATTAAAATTGACGATACCAATTGTCGTACGACTGCAAGGTAAATTATTTTCTTTCTCATAGTCTCAATTGGTTTGTATTATTATAAAAATTCTCTAGGTACACGCGTTGATGACGCCAAAGCAATTCTTGCTCATAGTCAGTTTAAAATACTTGCTTGTGATGATCTCGACGATGGAGCTCGATTGGTAAATTGAGAGTTGCTTTTTTCTCTCTTCAATCAAATCGATATCTATTCTGATTTGTTTCTAGGTGGTAAAGCTTGCTCAGATAGTTAGTCTTGCTCGATCGGCTTCTATAGCTGTTCAATTCGAATTACCAATTTAATTTATTCTCAGGCGATCGCACATTTTCCTTATTTTTTTGTCATTCTCATTTTCGAGATCAAATATTCGACAGTTCTTTATTTTAATTCCGCATTATTTTTCTTAGTTTCGCATTTTCTTTTTCGATGTGTAGTGTAGCAAACACTGCTATACCCTGTCTGTTATTTTACAATAGTCACTTTGTGATTCTTTATTTTCCGCTATCGAATCTCGTTTATCCCGCAATAAAATAGGAACAATATAGATATGCTTCATCCATTTTCATCGTGTAAAACGGCAAAGGGCAATAACAGAGGTACCATAGAAATCGAAACGAAGAGATAAAGAATTCTCTGCCGTCGCATGCCCAGAAAACCATTACGAAAGGCGAGAAAATGCCGTTGAACTAAAATCCAAGCCATTACAAACAATAAAATGATACTTAAAGAATATCCCTATCAACTCCACCATGTACAGAAAACTACGGACAGTATGATTACTCTTCCGTATCGGTAAAACAATATAGAAAATAAAATATCCATTGTTGATCAAGAGCAGCGTTAAATGATTATGCGGAGAAAAGGCTTCCTTTTGTCGATAAAAATAAATTACAATCATAATGGAACAGAGCACAGAAGGGATGAATAAGATTAGTAATAAACAAAATTTGATTGTGAATGATAGTGGCACTGTGAGTTTGAAACTGTTCAAATACTTTTAATTGTTCTCAAATAAGTGTGTAAAGTGTCTGCTTCTATTTGTGAAGAAAATATGAACTTATAAAAAAAACTCAGTCATGATCTATGGAAGCGAAAGGTTCCCAGAATGTTCTCGCATACTGACACTGGCTTGTGCACGTTAACAAAGACCTTTTTATCCAGTTCGTCAACTGGAAGTTGTACAAATTCCTTAGAGTAACAATTCTAGTATCGAGTATTTTTACTCTGCTAGATAGCCTTTCCGCTTCGATCTGACTATTATAGAAGGAACACTGGAGGAAATATAAAATAAATATCACGTGCTGACGCTATTTCTGCAAACAACATGTCTCATTGACCTCTGTTCAAGAAGCATGACATTATCAGATGAATCGATCGATATTGTGTAGTATTTGGAAAGTGATGTACGAGATCTTATCAAATCGAAAGTTGGCTAATTTGAGAAAAAAAAAGTGCATCACCATTCACGGGTCGTGCGAAGAGTCGGTAGAGAGTCATTTGATCAAACTTTTATCAAAATTTGACGTCACAATTAGATTGTGTGTGACATAACGATGATCTATGATAACGAATATTCTAATCATCTCGACTGGATAAGAAACAAAGAATAACAACTAAGTTCAGAACAGTTTTTTGATAACTCCATCTTTTCTCATTTGTCTAATATCTTAGTTATCAGTTGAAAATCTTTCCATATCTTTTTTTCTCTTTTCACTTTTAAGTGCGTGAAATCCAGAGAGAAGCATTACCAAAAAGTAGCTGTGCATCATTTTTACCTTCTGCTGTCATTTCAATTCTTGTTATTTTACTGAGGGTTAGAATAGAAATGTAAGTATACACTCATTCAAAATTGATTGACAACTTTTTCGAAGAAGACAAGAATTTCGATGAACTTATGAATCATCGTCAAATATTTGTCTTTATCTGTCGACATCACGCCATATATTCCTTCATTTGCACTCGGTCTATTTTATCTGCTAACATATTCTAGATATATCATCATGAAATCTGTCGAAGAATATCCACCGGATCGACGAAGTGTCAAAGCTGCCATTGAAGATAACATTGGATCATGTATAATTGCTTTATTATCACTTCTTGCTTTAATATCGGCTCTATGTTGGCCATTTGTTAAGATGAATAAAGTCTTTTCGGAACATTTAATCGATATGACATCATTCAATGATTATCTAGTTGTGAATGTATTCGTTTTCGCATCGTATACATTGCAATATTTGTTAACAGCTGGGATACTAGAAAGTACGAATCCACGCGGCTTTAAATCGGAATTGTTAAACGAAAAACAACTTCAACAACGCAAAAGTCAAATTCGAAAGGAAATTATTTTAGGCATCGGTGCTATGTTTGGTATGTCAATACTAATGAAATTCGAATTGATCAATCTTTCTCTGATTTCTTTTCAGGTAATACCACCTACGCTGTCTCGTGGATGTACTTCATCGAACCATATTTATGGACAACAAATTATTTTGTTCATCGTCAATATACACTCGCTTGGTTTATTTTCAATATTTTTGTCTATGGTTTTATCTTTGATTCGTGGTTCTATTGGACACATCGTGCTCTACATGAATCACAATATCTTTGGGATAAGATTCATACGACACATCATGCATTTAAAAATCCATCGGCTTTTTGTCAAGATGCTGTTCATCCATTAGAAGGTCTTGTACAAGGTCCAGTTGGCCATTATTTAACCTCATTAGTCATGCCGGTTCATCCGATTGCTCTAGCATTCTTTGGTCTATTTACATCATGTTATGCGAGTAAGTAGAACGATATGTTATCGATTTGTAGGTAAACGTAAACTTTGATATTTTAGTTGCTGCTCATGATGGACGTTTAGGAGATTTTAATCATCACTATGCTCATCATAATAAAGGTAATGTTAACGATAATTTTATGAAGAAAAAAAAACGAGATATACTTGTTTGTCTATATAGGAAAAGGTCGTTTACACAATTTTAATTATGGTCTTTATTGGCCACTATGGGATCTAATCTGTGGTACTCGTTATCGTGATCGTCCTGATACAAACGATGTCAATCATTCATCGAAGATAAAAGAGCACGACGAGAAAAAGTTCACATGATTTCTTCTATTCTTATTCATATGTCTGTCTAGTTCTCATTCTCTGATTCGATTCGACAATTAATATATATGATCCACATACACATCACATTGCATGTGAATGTGTATATGGTGATCCTTGTCAATATCCGTTCTACTCGATTTTCTCCTTTCTTTCTTTCAATCCAATTAATTATAATAGCAACAACAGATGTTCATCGATTTCTTTTCTTTCCATTCAAAATAAATTCTCTTCCTAGATCGATTGTTTAATTTCCAAATATGCAGTACATTATTTTGTTTTTGTTATACATTATGAAAAAGAAACAGAAGAGAATTCTCTGTCGATACTTTCGTACGGAAGCAAGAACAGATTAGTACTAAAAGAAGAAACAAAGAGTTAGCTGTGAGAATAGAGAAGAACAACAATAGCAATAGCAAGAAATAAGCGCATTAATGAAATCAAATAGATACCTGAGATATGAGTTGAACAAGGAAGAAAAATGACTTAACTCTCATCGTAATGACGAAAAGGAAAAGACCGGGTCATTCATTTCTGTATGAGATAGTCGAATACTACAGGTAACAGCAAAGTAAATTCATAATGATGACAATGTAACACTGATTTACTGTTATGAGAGAAGAGAAGAAAAGAGAGCGAAACTCAGATACAGTATTAGCCATTAGAGAGAAGAAGACGAAACTAACATGACGAGCGAGAATCCATATGATTTCATATACAAAAATCAACAAAACAAGAATAGGAATGTAGATATATATACATGTGTATGTTCTACAATCATATTTTTGAAGAAAAATGAGAAGAAGAGAAACCGGTGAGAAAATTCGCTCAGCGGGGTTTTCTTATATAATTATGTGTACATGTTTGACAGAAGAAAACGGAGTAAAGGCTAACGAAAACAAACAGCAAAGAAAAACAATCGGGAAGACAAAGACCAAATAAACTAGATGAAGGCAAGTCAGGCATCGGAGAACAATACGAATACTTGACAGACATTGTCTGTTACTCAGCAAGGCAAATAGAAACAAAAACTAACAGAAAAAAAAACTAATATATTATGTTTTAACAAAACATCAAAGTTTTCTTTTTCTTTCACCTGGATTATCGTCAGTTTCGTTTCGTTCGTTTTTTATCCATCATGAATGCCGATTTCCATCGGTGCTCGATCGTATGTATTCAATGTATAGCATGAACGGAGCGGCGAGCCGCTTCCACTTCTATGATTTGCGGTAGATGCATTAACAGTGAAGACATTCGATGAAAGAAACCATGAAATACTACGATTCGGTGACGAAGTCACTTGTGTCGAAGAATCACTCAATTGTTGTGGAATATGAATATTTATTGATGCACTTGGTGTTAAACGTGAAGTTAAACTGGAGGATGTTTGTATACAAGGTTTGGTTGTTGGCGTAGATGGAGTGTGCACGAGATTCGTTGATGGTTTAGATGTAGGAGAGAAGTTTTGTGATTTCAAACGACGTACAGCTTCTTTAATTAAATTGCCCTCATCTATTAAATGTTGTAATAGACATGGTAGACGACGTTTCTTTTCGTTAGTTGTCGAGATATTCGCATGATGTTTCGCGTGACAATGATGATGATGATGATGATGATGCGGCCAACGATTGGATATCGATGTTTTATAATGTAAATTCGATGATTTCCATGCACCTGTTGGTATTGAAGAATTATTTAGTATGAGTGGTGCAACATCTGCAATATTATGTAAAGGTTCGAGATTGCTGGATTGCAAGCGTTTTAAATTGCTTGTCGATGATGATTGTGATGTTTGTTGTTGCTGTTGCATAACGTCAAAATGTCGCCGACAACCCGAACGAAATCGAAGTATTTCAGTTAGCTTATCCTAGATATTCAATAAAAATATGAATTAATAAATGGAAGACAACGATAGGTTTTTACCAATAGGAGATTTAATTCGGGTGCAGATGTTGGTGATTCGAGTTGTGTTTCAATATCATTCGAGAGATTTGCTGTTGATGTGTGAGTATCAATCGAAGCATTTACTGCTGCTGCTGATGGAACATGAGATGTACAATCGAGCGAACACATTGGTAATGTATATGAATGTTCTTGCATGTAAATGACAGATAAAGACTAGAAATATTCTCCGTGAAGTTCAACTAGTTTTTGTTCAAGTTTGAAAATATCAATAAACAGGCCAAATGTAAGCCGAAAATCAGCTGTCACTGCCTGTGAGCATTGTTGATTTGATGTATGTGTTGAGTTTAGATCTGAAAATGAGTGTGAAGAAGAAATAGAGAGATGAGTCAGAATCGGATTGATTGGGCGATGAAGATGAGAACGACGACGACAGCGACGACGACATTTTGTCACCGCTCCGCAGTCAGAGCAGTAGTAAACGGGAAGAAGATGTCGAAGAAGAGAAAAATAATCATAACGAGAGGGGGCGCAACTCAGCATAGCATACAATAAGATTTCTTTTTACTTGCTTTCTAATCAGAATAAATAAATCTATGACGTGTGAGACGATATTAACGAACCTTTTTGATCCATAGATAAAAAGANGTAGATGCATTAACAGTGAAGACATTCGATGAAAGAAACCATGAAATACTACGATTCGGTGACGAAGTCACTTGTGTCGAAGAATCACTCAATTGTTGTGGAATATGAATATTTATTGATGCACTTGGTGTTAAACGTGAAGTTAAACTGGAGGATGTTTGTATACAAGGTTTGGTTGTTGGCGTAGATGGAGTGTGCACGATATTCGTTGATGGTTTAGATGTAGGAGAGAAGTTTTGTGATTTCAAACGACGTACAGCTTCTTTAATTAAATTGCCCTCATCTATTAAATGTTGTAATAGACATGGTAGACGACGCTTCTTTTCGTTAGCTGTCGAGATATTCGCATGATGTTTCGCGTGATAATGGTGATGATGATGATGATGATGATGCGGCCATCGATTGGATATTGATGTTTTATAATGTAAATTCGATGATTTCCATGCACCTGTCGGTATTGAAGAATTATTTAGTATGAGTGGTGCAACATCTGCAATATTATGTAAAGGTTCGAGACTGCTTGATTGCAAGCGTTTTAAATTGCTTGTCGATGGTGATTGTGATGTTTGTTGCTGTTGCATAACGCCAAAATGTCGTCGACAACCCGAACGAAATCGAAGTATTTCAGTTAGTTTATCCTAGATGTTCAATAAAAGTATGAATTAATAAATGGAAGACAGCGATAGTTTTTACCAATAGGAGATTTAGTTCGGGTGTAGATGTTGGTGATTCGAGTTGTGTTTCAATATCATTCGAGAGATTTGTTGTTGACGTGTGAGTATCAATCGAAACATTTACTGTTGCTGATGGAACATGAGATGTACAATCGAGCGAACACATCGGTAATGTATATGAATGTTCTTGCATGTAACTGACAGATAAAGACTAGAAATATTCTCCGTGAAGTTCAACTAGTTTTTGTTCGAATTTGAAAATATTAATAAACAGGCCGAATTTAAGCCGAAAATCAGCTGTCACTGCCTGTGAGCATTGTTGATTTGATGTATGTGTTTAGTTTAGATCTGAAAATGAGTGTGAAGAAGAAATAGGGAGATGAGTCAGAATCGGATTGATTGGGCGATGAAGATGAGAACGACGACAACAGCGACGACGACATTTTGTCACCGCTCCGCAGTCAGAGCAGTAGTAAACGGGAAGAAGATGTCGAAGAAGAGGAAAATAATCATAACGAGAGGGGGCGCAACTCAGCATAGCATACAATAAGATTTCTTTTTACTTGCTTTCTAATCAGAATAAATAAATCTATGACGTGTGAGACGATATTAACGAACCTTTTTGATCCATAGATAAAAAGAATTGAATATATCACATGTAAATTTTTAAACTTCAATACAAAGAAGAT